CCACTACCACAACTAGACAAGCAGCTACAACCTTACCTGGACAAACTACCACTACCACAACTACACAAGCAGCTACAACCTTACCTGGACAAACTACCACCACCACGACAGGACAAGCATCTACAACCTTACCTGGACTAACTACCATAACAGGACAAGCATCTACAACCTTGCCTGGACAAACTACCACTACCACAACTACACAAGCAGCTACAACCTTACCTGGACAAACTACCACAACAGGACAAGCAGCGACAACCTTACCTGGACAAACTGCCACTACCACAACAGGACAAGCATCTACAACCTTACCTGTACAAACTACCACTACCACAACTACACAAGCAGCTACAACCTTACCTGGACAAACTACCACCACCACAATGGGACAAGCAGCGACAACCTTACCTGGACAAACTACCACCACCACGACAGGACAAGCATCTACAACCTTACCTGGACCAACTACCATTACCACAATTGGACAAGCAATGACAACTAAACCTGAACAAATGACCACTACTACAACAGAGCAAGCAGTGACAACCTTACCTGGACAAACTGCCACAACTTCTACAATACATACAAGCACAAATGGACAGATTACCCAAACCACCACCACTACAACAATGGGAGGTCTCACAACCAATCCTCCAACCACAACCACACAAAACATGGAAAATACATCAAATTCTTCTTCAAGTTATATAACCAGCACACCTTCAAGCACTACCAAACATGCTTCAACCACATCATCATCATCTGAAAGTGCTACATCCAAAACCACAATACAGCAGGTAGAATCAACCACCCCTGGGCAACCATCTTCAATCTCCTCAGTAACAACACCTTCTTCCACTCAAACAGCATCAAGTGTGTCTACTTTTACAGGCTCATCAGCAACAATTAATCTTTCCTATTCAAGTACCACACCAAATAACACAACCAATATAATTGCAAGCTCTTCTGTTTTAATTGCACTGATGACAACAAGCACTTCAAACACAACTCAACAAGCAGTTGCAACCACCCCTTCTGTAACACCTACTGATGCAACATCGACCACACCTAGCATTAAAACCATACCAACTACAGGTGATCTTTTCCATCAAAGTACCAGAGCAACAACCATACCCATTAATTCAACTCTAGGTACAACAACCACTTCCTCGACTAGCACTACAATAAGTTTCAGCACACCTTCTTTAAATACAACAGCTACTGAAGTAACCACTTTGCCATCTGGGACCTCACAAAATATGAGTAACAGCACACCAAGTTTTCCTCCCTCAAACAAAACAAATGCCTCAGAAAGCACCACCCTTTTGACCACTTCAGCTACCAGTAGCACAATAAATGCAACTGTTAGAACCACTAACACAATTTCTTCAGTTTCAGTATCTAAAACACCAAACATCTCTACTACAGGTGCAACACTAAGTACAACTACTCTGTTTCACACTAATGCCTCACCTACAAGTACATCCAAAAGTACCACCACTTCTTTGGTTGAAAGCACAACAGCCACAACACCTGCACCTTTAAATACAACAATGGCTTCTGAAACTTCTACTACCCCTAGAAGCTCAACACATAGTACAACAAGCACGGAAACAAGTGTGTCACCGACAAGTACTAGTACAACCATAACACCCACCCGGACAACTCCCAGTACAACAAGTACAGCTAGTAGTACCATATCTAGTACAACAGCATCTAGTACAACAACATCTAGTTCAACAACATCTAGTACAACATCATCTAGTACAACTATATCCAGTACAACAACAACCACTGGTACAACACCTACTACCACTCCTACTACCACCACAAGTACAGAACTTGGTACCAGTTCCAGTATAATTCAAAGTACCACAGCTTCTACCACTAACACATCCCCTTCAAGCACCACAATAAGTACTGCAAGCACCATGAAAATCATACCATCTACAAGCATCACTATGGAAAGTACAGCGTCACTTAGTACTACAAGTAATACCACACAATCTGGTGCAGGCAAGCCTGCTACCCAAACTATGGCAGATCAACAGAAATTGGCCCTGTACATAGCTGTGCCCATAGTGTTGATACTGGTGATAGCAGCAGCCATATTTGGATTGTGGGTCTTTTGTAGAAGGTAAGTGTGTGCTCATTGCAACCTTGAATATTTCATTGTCACCCCAAGATTCAGAGGACACTCAACTCTTTACTATTAGCTAGAAACAGCACAGGCATACTAATAGTTGAGAAGCAGGGTTCCAGTATCATCTGAAACTTGCAGTGCTTACTGTAAGAAGAAAAAGTATTTTAAAGGGATCTAGGTGAATAGTTGGTCCAAGTTGTGCTGATTTATTGCATTTTCACTAATCTTGAAACCTATTTGTCAACTTAACATTTGCTAACTATTGTGCACCTTTAGTTTAATTTGAAAAACTTTTGTACAGACTAAATAAAATATTCCACCACGAGCTAGAATTGTACCTCTGTGTGTAATTGCCATATCTTTCTTACCATGCAGTCTGAATGTCGTAGATACAGCATTTCAAACACAACAACAGAGCCAAGTTATCTTGGATACATAAATATTGTTCCTACTCCTTTTAGTGCATGTAAAAACAACAAAAAACTGAACAAGTCTAATAATAAGGAAACCACGACAATACTTATATATAGAAACATACTCTAGAATTTCAACCCAAGACAGCCTACTTCTTCACTTTTACTTGCAATACATGGTCACGAGCTGTAAATGTCTTATTCTAACTTCAAATCTTAAAATTGTTTCAGACGAAGAGGAGGTTTGTCCATAACAGATAAGGATGACTTTAATATGCTCACTTACAGCAGGTATGTATTCCCTTTATACTAACTGGATACAGATGGGGGCCATTGCTTAGTTATTGTGGTGTTTTCCCTGCTATCATGCTCATTCCAGGCTGTGTTCAGCTGATACATACAGATTACATGCACACCCCAGTGTTGTTGAGCTTTCAGACCACATGAGCATTGTGTGCAAGATTGCCAACTTGATGGTCCTTGTCAAGAAAAATAAATTTCATAGTGAAAAATCTTTTGCTATTTGTAAAGACAAATTTGACCACAATTTAACCTCAGTGGTGCACTTTTTAAGTTTTTATTTCATGGCATAAACAGATTGACTAAAAAACAGCTTGAAGTAGTTTGGTGTGAGAATTTCCACGTCCAAGTGTAACCCACTGCCACTACAAAGACCAATTAACTCCCTTCAATAGTTCTCAAGCTTATAACTTAATTACATGCATCTTTTTGTTACCTGCTTCAGAAATTCTCTTCCAGTAGGTTTTTTTTTTAGTCCTCTTTAACCCTATTCATTTTCAGTGCAGATCCGTCTGCCACCATGACAAGATATAAACTAACCAACCACAAACGCACCTACTCAGATAAATGGCGTAAAGGAAAGGGAGATATTGATGTCTGGGACTAGACTGGTGCCCCCTGGTGTAGGTTACAGCATGCTTTCCTGCTTGCGCCTTCACATTCTCCAAAACTGCATAACATATTGACTGAAATATGTCATTAACAGTTACCTTTGGTTTTACTCTGATCATTCTTATTCAAGAAAAATACATTTCTAAAATACCAATATACATCTTTTACTTCCATTTGTTGCTTGGTTCAGTTTGTGCATTTAAAATGCCTATATATAAGGAATTCTTGTAAATGCAATGCATGAAATAAAAAACAACTGGGTTCATTTCAAGACATATGCAGGATTTACAGAATAGAAATATAGCGATTCTTGCAGTTTTCACATAAAGTATGCATCAAGAAAAAGAATGATAAAATGAAATTGTACTTCTTGTTGCCAAGTTTACTAATCGCTCATTGATGAAACACATTGAAATGAGCTGTTCTGAATTTTTTTGTGTATATAGTATTTTTTTCCATAAAAACTGCTTTGCAGAAATGAGGCCTATGTAAAACATTTTAATTAATATCAATGCATAAACACGAAATTTATAACAATCTGAGCCCCTAGCTTTACCTCCGAGTCGTTTTGCTTGCATTTAGTTTTTCCTACAAATACCTTCCCCTTACCTTTGACTGAAACTGCAAAATTGGTTACCTTTTCTTCTTTAAAAAATATTTTATAATTTGGAACTAATATCCCTTTTTACAGGTTTGAAGATGCTGCCTCAGGGGATCCATATGAATAGTCCGAAGTACAGCATTTGTTCAAAGACTTGTAGCCTGAATATTAACTTCTTCTGTGACTTTCATGAGGACTGCAATTCCACATTCATAACATCAGGAGCACATATTATGTAATATGGTAATATCTGTCTGAATGGAACCCGCAGAGCAAACACTTCCAAGTTCAGTATAAAAATTGGTACCCACAAATGATGGAATTGTGATGTAGTGATAAAAATCCAACAGGATCTGTCATCTATCCCAGGGAGTAAAAGTCTGAAACTTGAGCAGGAAAACTGGAATGCTTCAATGCTGAAGCGCCCATTAGAGATGAAATGACACNGGCCAGCACGAAATAGTAAAACTGTACAAGTGAACAGAAAATAGTAGCAAAATGTTCATTTTTACAGATGTTGAATGAATCACCAATTGCATTGTTTTTTAAGCAATATGTATAGCAATAACTATAATAAAAGCTTGCTCCTTTCATAAAAATGTATCATTTTCAAGAAAAAAAGAGAGGTACAGAGATCTAAATTAACTTTGTACCACAACACTCATTTCACTCATATGTGCCGAAACTTCTACCTCCCCCCCCCAACCCCCCAGCAACAATTTTCACTCATGTCTGAACTTGATGAAAAAAAGGTAACCCAAGGGGCACATCTACCACACTATTATACATTCTTTATGCTCTCTACCACACACCTCACAATCACAATCAGTCGTCAATTACATCACATGATTTTACAGTTATATCTATTGTTGTTCACCAATCATAAGTTCACATAACTTGCAGGCACAGGGGGTGATATTTTCTGTAACACAGAATAAAGCAAGACTTAAGTGTTTTGATTGACCACCCCAGTGACTTAAATACACTATATCTACTCTAAATCAGAGGTAAAAATAACACTGAAACCTTAAATTATGCTTTGGGTCTCAAAATGGCAAGAGGTTGTAATGAATTTCCTACCCATCTCAAACAAAAAATTTAAAAATAATTTCTAGACAGCATATTCACATAGATCACTGCGCTTTAATTGAACGTAATTAAGAAAAATTGACATTGTGTATTATGAGAAATTTATAGAAAACATTCAAAATTTGCTTTAGTGCTGTGTCAAAGATTCACCCACTGTGCCTTTTAAGCACATTTAAATGTATCACATGCATCCCAATGACATTGCAATCTTGTTAATATGTACATCTTATGTTGCAATATTTACAATTTAAATATCATCTCATTGCTTCTTAGAGATCAGTTCCAGTTCTCTACCATTGCAGGTTATGGTGTGAGACCTGATAATGATGTTCACCATCTTAGTCCTGCATGGAGAGTGAAACGTTGGGAATTCAATAACAATTTAAATCTCTGATCATTTTTGATACTGAGGATAACATACTTTTTGCAAGGTATGCAATTTGTATCCACTCGACTAGGTCTGATACATTACCCCAAACAGTTGAAACAGATCATTTCAACATTTAGCCAACATTTTTTTTTCTTCTTTTCTACAACACTGTGCCAACATTTTTTTTCTTTTCTACAAGACTATGCTGTCTTTTTTCCTCACCATGTTAAATCTACCTAATTTTTTTAGAGATTATTTTGTTATTATGCAACCAAAAAAATCTTTTACTCTGATCTTGCAGGCCTGAACTCACACACCACAAATCTAATCTCATCAATAAGATCCAGGACTTGACCCAGTACATTTGTGATGTTCCTGTTAGCTGTAGTTATGTGTGATGATCAGTTGTTTTTTCCTGTCCCGTGTCACTGGTATGGTGAACGGTGATGAGGAGAGCGTTTGATGAAGGAGGTATCTACGGAGTCCTGAGGGTCGTATCCAGAGCTCCACAAGCTGGGCCTGCCAGGGGAGGGGGTACGCTGCCAGGATGGATAGGCTAGAAGTAAGGAAAATGGATATATTCTATGGGGCTGGTTTCAAGGGGGGGAAAACATGAGTCAAGAAATGGTCTTAACTTCAAACCCTCTGACCCCAAATAGACCCATTGTAGTCCATTTAAATGATAATGACTTTATTTCACAAAATGTATGAAATGACTTATTCCAAGACCAAATATAACTTAACTTCAATGGGTATTATAGTAAGATTTATCCTCAGTTGAAGTCAACCAACATTTCAGTCTTAAAAATTATATCTTTCAACTTAAATTATATTCTGAAATTAGGTCCAGGTGATAGATTGGAAATGCTTCAATTCAAATCCTTATAAGTCAAATATTTGAAAAGACAGCAGGACCTACAATAAAATCAGAGAGAGAGAGAGAGAGAGAGAGAGAGAGAGAGAGAGAGAGAGAGGGGGGGCACTATCTGCATGCATCAACTGCATTTACAAAAAATGTGTTATTTTGATCTGATATGCTCATCCCACTTTGACCCCTCACGTGTCATTACTATTTTAAGCATACAATTCGTAATAAGTAATTACCAGGTGACTGTGCATAGTAAGGTGAAGTTGGAGGGCTGCCTGGCTGTAAGAAAGCTCCAGACTGAGGAGGTGCCGCAGAATACTTTTGACCCATCACAGCATGGTAGCCTACAAAATGAAACAAATAAAAACAGAAAATAGGAACTCAAAATATGTCCATTTTCTTTAAAATGATACTTTTAATACATTCATTCAGTCATGAAATGGAACAGAAAAATCTCAAGAAGTCCACAAATAGACCCAATGCAGTCAAAATATTAAAATACTGTTCTATTTGAACTTACCAAGTATTTGGACTTAACAAGTTTACAGTATGCATATTATAAAACCCAGAGGTTCACAGTGAAGGACACTCACCAATGACAATAGCTGATATGGTGGCTATTATACAAAGCAGCATGAAGAGCCAGGTTTGGTAGTGATGCCCTATCACAGTGAGCAGACTGCTCCAGCCCGAGTCCTTCTGACCTTCTATTTGAGGAACTAAATAAAAAACACAATAAAAAGAAATGAAACAAAACAAAATGATATTTAGAATAAGTTTAAGTGTGGGCTAGAACTCTGGTTTCCTCAATACTAATACACAAAATCAAATGGCTTTAAAGTTAGTGCATAGACTTTATGAAGTTGTTCTATGTGGACTTGATCTTTGCTCTCTGAGGAGAATACATTTCAAAATTTGAATATTCTGTGGAAACCTACACAGCTTACCTACCCAATAACTTTGAAAATATTGTGGCTTAAACTACTCTGTGCACAGATCAGATGTCTTAAGAAAACACGTGCTGGCATTGTATACAATTAATCAGAATCAGCAACCTTGCTCTATTTTCTAAAACTTGCCTCCAAGTCCATCCTGCCTCTGACCAATCAACTTCACCCTTACAGGCACTGCGTGGTGTTGTCCAGTCAGGCCATTGGTCAGCTCCACTCTGAGTTCCAGATTCTCCAGTTCCCACAGGGCCACTTTCTCCAACAGTCTCACTGGGTAGTGGACAATGGTGGGTGTCTGAGAGTCCACTTCTTGAGACAGGATCTCCAGGAGAGAGGGGTCACTGGCAACAACCTGGCGTGGACAAACAGCCATTAAATACTTGTTCAACATATTGCGGGTGTTATATTTTAATATTTTTTGGCCAGGCCAGTAAATCCCAAGAACTACTGTACAGACTCTGATTTCCAGTTATTATAATTATAACACTAAACATATCTTACACCATAAAAAAAAATATCCAGCAATCAAGGTATCACTAAAAAAATGCCACATCTTTTAAACTGGATCACAAGATAGGTAAATTTTACCAAATTTAAAGGAAAATAATGACCAAAAATACTAGAATCATACCAGCATCCCTACCTTGATTTCATCTCTAACTGGTCTCACTGAAGACACCCTGATACTGGACAGTGGCTGGAGGTTGCTTAGCAACAGCTCAGTGGTCATCACGTGGAACGCGGGATAAAATGGAACGCTGAGAAGAGTGGACATCACTTTTGGCTGGTGCTCTCTCTGGGTGACCGTCACCTGGAGTTGGACGTCTGTCTCCAAGGTGCTTATTTCCTGCTGCAGGAGGTCATTGTCCACCTGAGTGACCTTGCAACTGTACTGGCCTGTAGGGAAAAATATGGTACACATATCACTGATCTAGGATAATATGATATCTGTGGTACTTTATCAATACTAACCATTTCAAAGGAAATACATCAATGTTCTCAACAAAATAGGGCCTGGGACATGATGGTTATTAAAGATACTTAATTATCAATGCATGCTAAATGCCAATGCTAGTAACAAGAAGTATGGAGCTGCCAAATGTACAGACATAAAGAAGAAAATAATAGTGCAAAATCGCTTATTTTGTCAATTTTGATGCAATTACAGATTATGCTTAACAGCGAAATTAACACCAACAGGTAACATGAATGTTAGGAATTCAAATTCACACACTGAAAATGTCAGAATGAGAAAAATGAAAATGTCACAAAAAATGCATAAATTCAAGAATAAAAAAATCCAATCAAGCTTGTTTACCAATTTGACTCGTTTTTGTTAAGGGGATGACAACAGCAACAGCAGACGCAGGTGATGGCTATATATACAGACCCATTGTATCTGTACATAAACAAAGCACTTTGATTCAAAATGAGGCAGACGTAAAAACTGTGGGTATGTTGTTTTTCATAGATAAACCTATGTCAGGTTAGGTTTAGACATTTCTCCAAACTGACCTGTCTGTGAGTCAAAGTCTGGGGAAACTTTGAACAGATCTCCCACACTGAGCGCAGAATGAGCCCTGCTCATGGTCAGTTCACATCTGTATGGGAACATCCCCTGGAACTTCTCACTGGACAAAATCCCACTGCAGTTACTACCTGAACACATAGAAAAACAGAGAATCGTTCAAGTAGTCATGCAAAAGCTTACAATCTGGCATTTATGTAAGAATTATCCAAATTTTTTTGAACCAAGAATAGAAGAAACAGAGAGCTCCGTCTCTTTTGTTTACTCCTTGTTGTAAAAATATATATTTTGATGTTAAAACAAAAATAAAACCAGAAGAAAATATTCCTGTACTTGTGACAAGAACATCATTCGATATTTTTTGTGGTTAAAACCATAGCCACATGACTTCTTAAGTGTATATGATTTCAAAAAGTCTATTTCTAACATACCCATGATATTGCCAGTGCCAATCCCCTGCTCCTTGCTCAGTATGACTGGTATAGACCAACTTCTGCTTCTGCTTACAACATTGGTCAACGATTTCAAATTGTCCTGGACAATGTGAATTGACTGGACTGGGGCAACAATTATCTGAAAATAGGCCATATTGTTTCAAAATTCATTGCTGGCAATTGCTAATATCCCTTGGAGTTCATGCAAAGCATTTATAACTATGTAAAAAGCCTTTTGCTTGTAAATGGAAGCAAGGATTTTTATCACAAGAGAAATTACTTCAGTCTCTTGTTCTACGTTAATGACAGATATTGCCATCTTGAAAAAAAAATCAAAGAAATAAAAATAATAATTAAAAATAAATAAATAGTAATAATAATAATAATTATAAAAAATCTAAAAAAATTGACTCACCTCCGTGTATGTTGAAATGTCATTGGACACTGTGTAATGTACAAAGGTCTTCCCCACTTGTGTTGCCACGGCGATGCCAGACCTGGGATTCACTGTCAGAGCACTGCCTTCAGCAGACCACTCTCCTCTGTAACCTGACACAGACATTTGAAAATTGTATTAACAGTTTGGTAATTATACTACTGAACCAAATTAGATACCAATTTCCTTCATGTCCAACTGTATTTCACTTTGCATCGAATGTACTTGTAAAAAGGATCATACATGTATATGTCTCTCTTTGTGTACTTTCTTTTTAATTTTTTTTTTAATTCAAAAAAGGGTTAACAAATGAGAGCAAAAGTTTCTTTCTCCAAAAGTTAAGTTTTTTTTTTTTTTTTACAAAGCAATTGATATACTTTGGTCTGACCCTACAAAATTATGAAGATATCAACCAAAATTGGGCTAAAAACACCCTCAGCCACTCCCATCCCACCTTTTCCTCTTTATGCTGAATTTTTCCAATGTTCTTGTTCAAAATCAAGTCCTCGTTAAAACATATCCCACGATAACTGGCTAAATGACATTTTATCCTGGAATGAGCCAAAAATACCTATAATTTGTATAAAAGACACTCATTTCAGACCCCAAAAATGTGCTCACAGTTCCTTACCTTGTTCTGACAAGATGGAGCTGTGCAGACAGATCACCTCTCCCAGTACCACCTCTGCCTGCATCGGTTGTATGGCATACCCTACATTGATCTTAATATAGTCTGATGTCCTGGGGTTTAGCTTATCCCAAACCTGTAATGGAAAAAAAAAACAAAAAAAAAACAAACAGATTTTGATTTTCCTAAAAACTGTGTCCGTGAACTCAAAATGAAGTTTCTTGCAGTTTCTAACCTTAAAAACATGTTTAAGCTTTCTCTTAGAAACTGAAATTATACTTCAGCTTTGCCTCAAAAAATCATTTTGTTGACAGGCTCACCTTCAACACTGTCAGGCCCACATCTGTTGTCCTGGCAACCAACGTTCCATTCACAGATCCTGGGGAAACTTGAAGCAGATCAAACCTACAAGACCATATGATCAATTAACATTTGACATTCAGAATTGGAAAAATTAGCTGCTGTTCTTTTGTTATCAACTCTATGACATACTGTTTTCCCAGATAAAAAACTGCTAATCTGGAAAAAAATTCAATTTGGAGAAAAAATCATGAAAGGTTTTCTGAAGAATAAATAAAAAAATAAAAATAATAATTTTTCAAAATAAAAAAATACCTGCTTGGTCTGTACTTCAGCTTAGTATTGACAGCGTAAAACTTCTCGCCCACATCGTCATGGTAACTGATGGTATAACGCAGCGTTGTGCCCACAGGGATGGTGTGGAGGTGTCCCTCCGACGTCCTGATCACAGTATCCAGATTAAACATCAAGTACGACACGGGTTTCACCTTGATAAGAATGACCAACGTCTGGTTGACCCCAAAGTCCTCGTGTGCAGTGACCAGAAGTGTGGCTTGACCACTGATGAGTCCAGAGGTCACTTGACCAGTTTCACTCACACTGACCAATGGACTGCTAGTCTTACTGTCTCCTTTCTCTCGTATTATCTTGTAGGTAACCCTGGCAGTGCCATCTCTGAAAGTTAATAAGTTATAAGTTAACTGAACAAAAAAGATCGATCTATCTCTGTGGGGAGTCTCACTAGATTACTGTCACCTTGGCCGGCTTAAGCGTCTGTCCTGCCTACTAAAAGCTGTAAGGGGGTAATTAACTATGGTGCCCGACTGCAATTTAGCGTGAACCCCCAGGGAGTTAGGTCGATCTAAATCTTAATCTCTAGATCAATCTAAATTTCTGGGAAAGCACCCTTAGTATTTCTTTTGTGTGTGTGTGCGTGTGTGCATAAAACATATTTTTGTGCAGCATCTAAACTTGAGTCCAGTGGAACACTCACCTGTTAGTTTTGACCACAGTCTCTGTGTTAGGAGTCATAATAAGATGTCCATCACATGAAGCAGGAGAGATTAAACGTAGTTCTCCAAACACCTTAAAATATGAGATATCATTAAAAATTCAAAAGGAGACTTTACAAACCAAAGATATTACATTTTATCTTGATATTGCCTAAGTCAAAGTATTATTCATGACAATTTCGGAAAAACTAATGTGAGACTATAACAGCAAAGCTGTCAAATGTAAAGACACAAAGCAGAAAATAATGACGCTAGTGCACAATATAGTTTTTTGTCTATTTTGATACATATAAAATAATGTTTAACAGCTGTTTATGTTTAATCACCACCAATTTTAATCATGTGCTACAGGTAACATGGGCATTCTGGATCCACCTGTTTTTAAATGACAACTAGAGGATCAGAGAGGCGATACCGCCTCCAGATATTGTACCACCAGCTGGAGTAAGCGCATTCGTAAGGAAAACCAAAAACAAACAGGAACAACCACCAGTGTTGTGTTTGACAAGCTCTTCAAAATGCAATAAACAAGGCAAGAAATATGCCCCCTCCCCCAAAATAAAAAAAAAAACAGCACAACTCTTATAAAAATCGTCTAATCAAGCCAATTTTCAAGACAATAGGCTTGTCAGTTTTCTTTGAAAGGCATTATCAGTGTTGCATATATATATATTGAAAGAAAGAAATAGGCCTATCTCTGCCAGTTTTGGAAATATAAGGGATAGAAAATTTGCAAAGTTCAGTTCATGGTGAAAAGAAGGTCAAAGGTCAATTTAAATGTGACAGTTAGATGTCCAGTATATGACTTCCTATTCAAGTTCAAAAGTAACCATGGGTGTATCTCTGCCAGTCTTGGAGATAAAAGGGATGGAAAAATTGCAAAGTTCAGTGCATGGTGAAAAGTAGGTTAAAGGTCAATTCCAAGGTCACAGTCAGATTGCCAGTATGTGACTTCCTATTTAGGTTCAATATGTAATGAACCTTTTACATATGCCTAAAATGAACGTCCTAAACTTATATAATTTTGTACGCTTAATTCAAGCGTGGGCTCGAAATAGGACATTACGTTTTAGACTAACTTAGTGGATAACGCAATCCAAAGATCCCACGGTTCATGTCAGATTTACGTAAGGTCGCTCAAAGAAAACCCAAGTCCACATAATGACCAGTTAAATGATTTATTCGTTGATGCTAGGTAACTACATATTCTAAATGAAGCCTCCAACTCTTAACTCGTCAGCTCCGTACTCCGTCGCTTCCAATCTCCTCCTCCGCTGCTTCCTTCTACCTGTCTCCTCTAGCTGTCCCTCGTATCTCCCCCGTTCAATTCTCATCACTTACTTTAAATACTATTTTGTTATCTTTACATGGATCCAGTGCTGCACTAGTGTGCGATGTACGTCAAACCTAATTATCTTTAATTGTATAGTTAATTTCTTCACCTCAGGGTTATACAAAGAGGCCACCACATTACTTAATAACTATTGGATTATAACACATTACGTCATATGACTTCGTAAGACCTTTATGTTGGACCCGACATATTCCTTCCATTTTTTCCAGAGAAAAAAATTTTTTTTTCATTACTCTTGTTGGAGACGTTCACTCTAATAATATTTACAATATTTACAAAGATAATGAACATCGCATGTAATAACACGTTTGTAGTGTAGGCCCGGGGGAAAACCAGAGATAAAACCCTTTTGAGTATAACTTTGTTTATCAATTTAGGGAAAAATAGCTCTGGAAACCAGGCAGTTCAGCGTCTTATATAACAAAGTCTTTTCACATGTATTTTAAAGTCTTTTAACAATGGTGTCAAAATATTAAAGCATTTAAAGTCTTTCAATTGAAATCATGGCTCGTCGGTGAATGGCAGGGCGAAGTACACATCCTATTTTCCGTTGGCGGGTCCACCATTCTCAGCTGTACAGTTGCTTTTTCTCGTGTGCTGGACTAACTTCAGATCAGACACAGGGCAGGCAAGGGAGCGTCGGCACCATCAACCATCTGAGAGTCGGGAACACAGCCACGGCGATGCACAGACCATTTCGTTACACCTGAAGCCTCCAACTCTTAACTCGTCAGCTCTGTACTCCGTCGCTTCCAATCTCCTCCTCCGCTGCTTCCTTCTACATGACTCCCATCTATCTCCTCCCGTTCAATTCTCCTCACTTACTTTAAATACTATTTTATCTTTACATGGATCCAGTGCTGCACTAGTATGAGATGTACGTCAAACCTAATTATCTTTAATTGTATAGTTAATTTCTTTACCTCAGCATTATACAAAGAGGCCACCACATTACTTAATAGCTATTGGATTATAACACATTACGTCATATGACTTTGTAAGACCTTTCTGTCGGACCCGACAAATAGTAACTATGGGTGTACCTCAGCTACTTTTGGAGTATTTCACATGTGTAAATCTCTGCTAGTTTTGGTTATATAAGGGATGGAAAAATTGCAAAGTTCAGTTCATGGTGAAAAGTAGGCCAAAGGTCAATTTCAAGGTCACAGTTAGATTGTCCAGTATATGACTTCCTATTCAAGTTCAATAGTAACTATGGGTTTATCTCTGCTAGTTTTGGAGATATAAAGGATGGAAAATTGCAAAGTTCAGTTCATGGTGAAAAGTAGGTCGAAGGTCAATTTCAAGGTCACAGTTAGATTGCCAGTATAGGACTTCCTATTCAAGTTCAATAGTAACTATGGGTGTACCTCAGCTACTTTTGGAGTATTTCACATTTTATTTTCACCACTGAATATTGCTCAGTTGTGCTTTTTGATATAGCGCAACTCCTTGACCGTATTGCAAACAAAAATATGAACATCACTTCCAGTATTGTGCTTGACAAGCTCTACATAATACATAAAACAAGAGATCTCTAGCATTTACGGTTCCAGAATTAGGGAGAGTTTTCAGTTTTGGCATCTTATGGCCGTTTCTCCCATGAAAATGCACCTATTGACCCCAAACTCCCAAAGATGAAAGGAGTCCCTAATTGCATCCCCTCATTATAATATGAGTGCTAAACTCTGTGTAGTTTTTGAAATTCGGCACAAATAAATTTTTTTTTGCAAAAAATTTCCATTTTTAGAAAATTTTGGCCTGTTTGACCTTGAAAAAAGGTCAAAGGTCAAATCCGAAGGCATATTTGAAATCCTCATATATGACTTTCGGTCAGACTTCTATACTAATTTTTCCCATAATTCCTTCCGTTTGGGAGATATATCGCATTGAATTTTCAAAAAATTTGACAAGGGTGCATTTCAACGAGTGCCTGGGCGAATGCACCGACTGAGGAAAAAAAAAACAGGAGGTTCAAGTTGAGATTATATGTGACCTAAATCCAAGAGATGGGGACACAGGTCCGTGCGGTCTAGGAGGAGAAGCGGTAACGGTGACTTGTATCCCACGCCACCCTGCAGAGCCGGCAGAGCTTACGGAGCCGTACGATACGGGTCTGGACTAAAACCATGAGTACTGCCAGTGTACATGCTGCTGGTACTAATTAACATGCAGAGTATAATAAAACTTCTGCACTTTTTAATTTTCAACAGAAATTAACTGAAAAGGTTTAAAAAAAAATTGTTCAAAATCAATATTAAAATACAAATCTGGGATCCCTACTGAAAATATTGAAGTTTTCATGCAAATGTGATGATAAGTATCAGCATGATTTCCAATGAAATGAGACACATGGTTTTAAATGGAGAATTAAGGATGCAATTAAATGGCCATATATGCAAGTTACATTCCTAACACATACTTAGTCTGTTGGTACCTAAAACATTTGTCTTAAAAGGAAAGACTGCTGCTTATATTCCATGCTCCACTGCCTCCCAATGGTGTTTACAATGAATAAAAAAAATGCCTGGCATATTTTTTGGTCTTGATTCATACTGGCTGTATATGTTCTCACTTCCCTGGGAAGGATGTCAGCCCAGCTACCATGTGAGGAGCTGAAAGCTAGGATGGGAACAATGTCTTTGCCTGCTGCAATTAGGTCAGAATTTTTTGAGTTTACTTTTGAAGGAATTATCATTTGGCGTAAATTTTTCTGTCAAAAATGGAGGGTGGTTCAACAAAGAATCTGGAGAACTGTCATAATATAACTCTGGATCTGCCCATGTTTACTCCCCCTTCAACCCTTAGTGCCAAGTGACAAGCAGGTACCATTTATCATGGACTCCATGGGTTGTCGCCAGTAGGGCTCGAACCAACCTCCAGCTCTTAAGGTGAAAAACCACAATGTCAGTAAAGTTTTTCCTTGTTTTGTTACATCAGTTAGTATCATTACAGGTTTTATATTCATGAAAGGTAACGATTTCCAATTTGTAATTCAACAGCACATTTGAATCTCATTTTTTTCAGCTCTTGATTACTTCAAATCAACGACGTTCGGTAGACACTCGGTAGCTACATATTCTAAGTGAAGTCTCTAACCCCTAACTCCATACTTTGTCTCTTCCAATCTCCTCCTTCGCTGCTTCCTCCATGGCTCCCTCTACGTGTCTCCCTCTTGTTCAATTCTCATCGCTTAAATACTAATTTGTTATCTTACATGGATCTAATGCTGCACTATTGTGCAATGTATGTAAACCCTAATTACTTTTCATTGTATAGTTAGTTTCTTTACTATGGCGTTAAACAAAGAGGCCGCCACATTACTCGAAAGCTATTGCACCACACTGCGTTACACCATATGACTTCATACAATCTTTATGTCGGACACGACAATAGCGCCTGTTGACTTCAGCTGCTGTGAAGAAGCAAAAGATGACCAAGGTGTCTCCATTTACCGTCTCCTGTTGCTGCTGCTGTCTGGGCACATATGTCTTAGGACAATGCGAGTTTTCCACGAGTTTCACTTTTTCATATCCTACATGTGACAAAAGCTTCTAGAATTTCAATCACAGCACATAAAGCTCAGGTAATTTTATTGTCATCAATTTAGGTTTCTTTGCATTTTTCACTGTGTTCTATATGAAAACAAATAAAAAAAGTAATGTAAAACTTTAAGAAGAGATCCTAAATAAATAAACAAATGAGTTAAAATTATATTTGCTGAAGTAGATAAACCACTTTCCTAGCATTTTCCTAGCAGACATTGGGTTTTCAAAGGGAATGACATACTGGTATACATGTTCTTTACTTTCTGTTCAACTTCTTGTTTTAATGTAGTCAATCTCATTATAACACATGCAATTTGCCTTACATTAAATTCTTGTTTTAAGTAATTCTAATGCTCTGGACTATTAAAGATTATAACAATCCCTCTCCACAGTTTTCAACTGCAAAATCCTTGTCTCTGCCAGTGGTGTAAAAACAAGTGTTTATAAATCATTCTTTTCTTCTTCATTCCAAGGTCAAATTGGATTTGTGACATCCAATTATTGTAAGAAGGGTCAAACCAACTGCCAGTGGTTGAAATATGTGGGTTTTAAAACGCCATTTCCAAGTCCACCCAACGTTGTGAGCAGAAACTAGTTCTTTGCTTTTAACCAAAATAACCACATTATAATCTAGACGAAATAATCAAGAATGCGTACAGTATAAAAAGCAAATTTATATGTTCTACTTGTATGACATGTGAAAATATTATCACTTCATGAATATAAAATTACAGTTTTAATTCCTATTTAATGAATGATAAGAATGAAAGAAAGGCGTTTGCCAAAAGAGTATGTGTCAAGCGCTTTTATTTCTACTTCTCACCTAATTGCAAATTATGCTAAAACTGTGTGCTAACTTGCACAAAAGCTGGGGCAATTATACAAGGGATTTGAATTATTTACATTTATTTCCATTTCTTTTTTGGTTATTTCTAATAAATTATAAGTGCATCTTTTATTTATAAAAATGGGTGTGTTCGATTCACAAACAATCTCCTGCTGCTGATCTTATGCGAACGGAGTCTGCTACAAATATGATAAAAATTGCCTCCTCTCATTTGGATCGTGAACGATCTGCATAATGACTATCAATTTTTAATAATAAAATAAAAGTATCACAGATATTCACAAAATGTGACTAGCAAAGGACTTCAAGCCCATGGAAGTCCAAAGTACACCTTGAAAATGTCGATATGTGAAAAATAAATTTTTCACAAAAAAATAAATAACTTCCAGAAAAATTAACCAACTGAAGCTGTATTTAAGTCCCATGTTTCTTTCCCGTAAGTGTGAGATTAAGAGGTCGATTAAGAAATTAAAAATCCTGTCACTGAGTGATGTACTAAAATTGAGAGAATTAAGTTTTTTCATGCAGTCTAAAAGGTGAAATCGTGTTAAAAGCAGAACTATAATCACTAAAGAGTAGGCGTGCATAATTAGGGATTTTGAGATCCAAAAAAAGACTTCCCATGAAATGAGACACACAGAATCAAATCGAGAATGAAGGGGCAATTAAATGGACATGTTATATTCCTAACACATAGTTAGTCTGTTGGTAGCTAAATGTTTGTTTTAAAAGTAAAGGCTGCTGCTTATATTCCATATTCCACTGCCTCTCAGTGGGATTTACAATGGATAACAATATGCCTGGCATATTTTTTTAAATCTTGATTCATACTGGCTGTATTTGTTCTCACTTCCCTATAGGATAAGGATAAGGATATCCGCCTAGCTCCCATGCGAGGAGCTGAAAGAGAGGATGGGAACAATGTCTTTGCCTGATGCAAACTTAACCAGGGGCAGACAGAAGCTGTCTTTTGGGCCTTCAGCAAGATGGTTTAATTTTCTTTAGTTTACATGGACGGAATTCTAATGTTTTTCTGTCAGAAATTTTTCTGTCAAAAATGGAGCATGGTTCAACAAAGATAATCTTGAGGACTGTCAGATAATGCCTCTGAATCCACCCGTTTACTCTCCCTTCAACCATTAGTGCCAGGCAGGCAGACAGCAGGTACCATTTATCATGGACTCCATGGTTTGTTGCCAGTTGGGCTCGAAACAACCTCCAGCTCTTGAGGTGAAAACCACAAGGTCAATAAGTTTTTTTTCTTGTTTTCATTCATCAACTAGAGGATCAGAGAGGCGATACCGCCTCCTGATATTGTACCACCAGCTGGGGTAAGCGCATTTGTATGGGAAAGAAAAAGAAAGTGGGGCCCCACCTGTATGGTTGTGGGTGACAAGCTGCAGGAAATGTAGTAAAAAAGGTGTTTTTTTTTTTGTTTGTTTGTTTGTTTGTTTTTTTTTTCAGTTTTGGCATCTAATGGCTGCTTTTCCCATGAAAATGCACCGATTGACCCCGAACTTCCACACATTAAAGCAGTCTGCAATTGTAACCCCTCAGTATAATATGAGAGCTAAGGTCTGCTTAGTTTCTGAACATTGGCACAAACAAATATCTTTTTGCAGAAATTCCCTTTTTTGCGATCTAGGAGGATAATTGGTAATGGTGCCTTTTATCCCACGCCACCCTGCGGAGCCGTACGATATGGGTTGGTACTAAAACCACGAATACCCCCAGCTTACACACTGGTGGTACTAACTATGGGCATATCTTTGCCAGTTTTGAAAGTATAAGCACTGAAAAAAGTTGCAAAGTTCAGTCCATGGTGAAAAGTAGGTCAAAGGTCAATTTCAAGGTCACAGTTAAATTGCCAGTATATGACTTCCTATTCAACTTCAATAGTAACTATTGACCCAACTCTCCTAGTTTTGGAGATATAAGAGACTAAAATTTTTCAAACTTCAGTTAATGGTGAAAAGTAGGAATGTACTTTTTGATACAGCATAACTCGTGAACCGTATGGAAAACAAAAAACACGGAGACCACCTCCAGTGTTGGGCTTGACATGCTCTATCAAATGCAAAAAACAAAAGGTCTCTAGCATTAACGACTCCAGAATTAGAGAGAGTTTTATGTTTCAGCATCTAATGGCCGCTGCTCCCGTGAAAATGCATCGATTGACTCGAAACTCACAGAGATGAAAGATAACCTGAAGGGTAACAACTACCAAATATATTAGAGGTTAGGTCTGCGTAGTTTCTGAATATCAGCACAAATAATTTTTTTTTCGTAAAAAATTCCCTTTTTTTGAAAATTTTGGCCTGTTTGACCTTGAAATAAAGGTCAAAGGTCAAATCCAAGGGCATATTTGGAATCCTCATATGTGACTTTCGGTCAGACTTCTATATTAATTTTTCCCATAATTCCTTCAGTTTGGGAGATATATAGCATTGAATTTTCAAAAATTTTGACAAGGGTGCATTTCAACGAGCGTCATGCCCAGGCAATTGCACCGATCGAGACAAAAAAACCAGGGGGTTCAAGTTGAGATTATATGTGACCTAAATCCAAGAGATGGGGACACAGGCCCATGCAGTCTAGGAGGAGAAGCGGTAACGGTGACTTGTATCCCACGCCACCCTGCGGAGCCGGCGGAGCTCACGGAGCCGGCGGAGCTTACGGAGCCGGCGGAGCCGGCGGAGCCGTACGATACGGGTCGGGACTAAAACCATGAGTACCGCCAGCGTACACGCTGGTGGTACTAATTAGTATTATTACAGGTTTTATATTCATGAAATGGTAATGGTTTCCAATTTGTAATACAATAGCATATTTGAATCTGTTTTTTTTTTTTGATGTTTTATTCAGCTCTTGATTATTTCCTCTAGACATAGATAATCTTGACATTCTGGTAAACAGCCAAAAAAATTTGAAAAGAGGAGGTGTAAATAAATACCTGCTTTGAATTACATGAAACTGGATAGGAACCTATTCTTTTAACTACTTTTCAAATAAGCATATTCAAATAATTTGAAGGAAACCTCTTAATAAATAAAGTCAGACAGTTACAACTGGGCATAGCGCCTGTTGACTTCAGCTGCTGTGAAGAAGCAAAAGATGACCAAGATGTCTTCCATTTACTGTCTCCTGTTGCTGCTCTGTCTGGGCGCATACACCTCAGGACAATGTGAGTTTTTCACGAGTTTCACTTTTTCATGACTTACATGTGATAAAAGGTTCTACAATTTCACAGCATATTAAGAAAAAGCTCAGGTAATTTCATTGTCATCAATTTACGTTTCTTCACAATTTTACTGTGTTCATTTTCCTACTACTAAAGCAGACCTTTGGTTTTCAAAGGGAATGGCATACTGGTATGCATGTCTTTTACTTTCTTTTAAACTTCTTGTTTAAATGTGGTCAATCCCAATCATTCTTTTCTTCTTCACCCCAAGGTCAAATTGGATTTGTGACATCCAATTATTGTAAGCAGGGTCAAGCCCACTGCGAGTGGTTGAAATATGTTAGTTTTAAAAAGCCATTTCCAAGTCCACCTGACGTTGTGACTGCTATCGCTTTACTAGATTCCTGGTAAGGTCTCATTTGTTTTATCTATATGTAATTGTGCGCTCGCACATTTTAACAAATGTCTGCTTTTATGCTCATTAAAGCAAAATGCCTTTTACAAAGAATGACTTATTTTTCATGACTTATAAAACCATCTCATCTATCTATCTATCTGCACATCCATGATACTGGGTAGCAACATTGGTGCATGATGGGCATTATCATCAAGATGGGTACAATGAGCAGACACAAGTTCCTGGCTTTTAACCAGAGTAAGAACATTATTCTAGAGGAAATAATCAATAATTTATGTAAAAAAAAAAAAAAAAAATTCAAATGTCCTACTTGAATGACAAATGTTAGAATATTATCATTTTACATTCATGAAATGATAATATTCTAACACACACACACACACACACACACTGGGGTAGCGCTAGGATTTTTTTTGCTTTAGCCAAACTTCTGAAAAATTTTAGCCAAATCAAAATTTCTTTAGCCAACTTATAATATTTTTAGCCAAATAAAAAAATGACAATTTAAGGAATTTAAAGCAATATTTATTCCATTTTAAATGCATTTTTTACAATGTTGATGCAAACAAGATTTAAAATCTAATGAATCTTTCCTTCTTTTGAAATTGTTCAGCTTCTTGTAGTATATACATGTAATTCATACATCATCCGAAAGCTGTAAAAAATAAATGATACAAGTGTTCCAAATTGATGATTCTAAAATGGTTTGGACCCCATCCTCTTCCGTTTGTATTAGATGTGTGGGTCCACATTTATGTCATTTCTGTTGGTGCTGAACTAATACATTTGAATGGCTCAACACTTTGTCTGCAGGTAGGTCAACTGAAACTGAAAAAAAAAATAGGTCATTGAAAGCCAGTGACAGTGGGACAGTATTAAACATTAACAAATATGTCAAATAAACATGGAGCAATATTCATTTTTATGTATTGCAAAGTTCAAAAAGAGTTCAGATTTCCAATTGCTAAAGCAAGGCCTCGTCGGTGGATACGTCACGCCCCCTCCATTTTTTATTTAAGATCTGCATCGATCTCAGGTATGCTATTTTGGCCCTCACCCCAAATTAAGATAAAAAATACTTCTTAAAAGTGACATAATTTTGGGCAATAAAAACTTCTGATTTAAACTTTTAGCCTAAAATTCAGTTTAGTCTGAGCCCCAAGTCAATACAGCAAATGCAACTTACATGAGTCTCGGCTGGCACCAGTATTTATTGATTTTTCAGTTAAATCTACTCCCAGTTACTTGATTGACAGGTAGTTTGTCTAGACAACAGACTAGTTTCAGCCAGTTAAAACTACAAAGATACCGACCCCTTCTAGTATTGATTTTTCAGTTGTGGGACTGGAATTGCTTGTTACGATTTGTTATAGTTATGTGAACGAGGGAAAGTTCAAGATATAAAGCGATATGCTTTCAAATATGTAATACACTGACTGAAACTTTAATTACTTTTCACAAGATTGCACTGTACATACCATCTTTTTCACGTGTCATCTCCGGGAGTTTGTGCTGTGAGAAGGTCCTCTCTGGTTTCTTCAAATAAACCTTTGGCCTGTCCCACCCCTACACAACAAAGTTACTCATTTCCTTCTGTACTTTAACGAAAGACAAATGTCTCTGAGAGATATCTCCTCCATACTGGAAAGTTTTTCTTTAGATCCCGCACCCACCATAATTATTCATACCACATGCTGAACACGCTTTAGGAACTAATAGATCACACGCCAAACGCTATTGGGTAAAATCGGCACCGCGTCATGGGTCATGGTCTTTATATGGTAAATTGACCTTGCAATATTTAGATTGTATTCTAAACATAATCGGGTGCATGTTAATGCCGTTTTCACAGTTGTGACGAACAGTAATGGGAAGTTTGCGTACCTGGCTCGACCACATATGCTTTCGCCAAATTAGCAAAATTACTATACTCATTTTAATTTTTTTTTCACCAAAGTCAATTAATTTTTCGCATTTGGCGAAATTGGCGAGCGCTAGTGCGACCCCAGATATATATATATATATATATATATATATATATCCAATTATCTATGACAAGAATGACATTTTGAGTTCTGAGAAAAAGAAATAGCCGTTATTTCTGAATGGCCCATATACATGTGCTGCTTCATGTGACATCTTTGAATCTGTGCATGTGCTTTAGCAATCAAACCTACTCCTCACTGTTTGATATGTTTTATATATATGAACACCCCCCTCCCCCTAATATTTCTACACATTCATTTGTTTAAATTTAGGTATGGTGGTAATGTTCGTGTCAACTTGCAACCAACGTCTATCTCTACTCATGGTTTTGTGATGAACTTTGGTGTTTGGGGCCAAAGCATCAATCCACCAACTCACATCTACCGTCTCAAAGCTGCATGGACTGCATGTCCCAAGGTCTAAACAAGCACCAAGCAAGAAACTCTGAAATCCAGTTTCTAACACCAAGATGCTGATATTTGGATGTGGACATGGACTAAATGAACTAATCTTTTCAGTAATGAGCCCAACATAGGGCATGAACCCTATGAATTAAGATCTACAGTATCCTGTTCTATGTGCTTACTTCTCGCAAAATAAGAAAACATTACAATAAATGACTTTACCACAACAATAAGTGTCTGTTTTTCTTATCACAAGATCTTGGATTGTGTGTTTATGTATTTACCACCAAATTTAATTATATACTGTAGGTGACAAGAACATTTTGAAAAAAAAGTACCTAGCATGCAACTTCAATCCCATGGTACTTCAAACTAACACATTAAAAATACCAATATGTGAAAAATGAAATTTTCACAAAATAAAATTTAAAAAGAAAACTGTTTTGGTAACTTCAAGAAAAATAATGGTAATAAATAATTCAAACTTCCCATAAATCACTACAGTAAGTTTGAGGATAATATGTCATACGGTTTTCCATAAATAGCATTAATGGTGAAAAGTGCAAGGCGAAGACGATGCAGACAACAGACGGTTATATGTACAGACAAGGTTATATGTACAGACACACTGTGTCTTTACGTTAAAAACCATCTACTTTTTGCTATTACAGGACAAGTTCTTTAATCAGAAATAATTATAACACATTCCAATAAACATACCTGTATCTGCACCTCATCCTCCAGTTTGACCCCCTCTTTAAGCTGTAGCATGCTGTCAGGGTGAGGCTTAGCCACCAGTTTCACTGTGACATGGCCTTCCTTGCGGGCAAACAGGTGAGTGGCAAAATTGCTCTCTGCGGGAACATGGAGGTTGCTCTAAAAATTAGTTGCAAAAATATCAACGAAGGCACTTGTTTACTGAAGGTCTCAGACAGCCGTCAATAATATGAAGTGCTAAATTTTAAAAGTTCATGCCCCCCCCCAACAAATATACATTGTCAAATAAATTAAAAATAAATAACAATACCATGTACTTAATGTATTTTTACTACATCAACAATGAATAAGACAATACATTCTCCCTCACAGTATACCAAGTGATGGACAAAAAATCAGTCACTTTTCAGGAACACACTTCAAAAGCACCTCTCAATGGACCTCGTCTTGTGCCTGTTCTAGCAAGAGGGTGGCCCATCCTGGCCTCAAGCAATCAAATCTTACCCATATGCTAAATTTAAAAAAAAGTATAAAATACTTCACAACTTTCTTCAAAATCAAATTTAATGTCATTGATTTATTACAAACTTTTCCTGAGAGTATCCAGCATTTACAACCATTCCAACCCCTGACTGGCCATATATCTTATACCTTGTAATACACAGACTTGAGCTCCACAACCTCCTTGTTGTTGATGGTCCAATAGAAGCTGAGAGGAGGCATCGCCGTCCCAAATGTGAATGGAGTCTCGTGTTCATTCATACCCATCGCATACAGAGGCATCTGAAATAATCACCAAAGAATTAGGCACAAAAAAATCTCTTGAAAATTAATAAGCATAAAATTTCCAATTAGGCACTAAAATCTCAACGGAAACTTTGGAAGCATATAATATCTATGTGTTACATTTTAATCTTCCCTCTGTGCAACTGGTGCTCTATCACAAGGCTAATTCTCGACAACACTATTGTTCAAAATTGATCGATCCAACTCCAACTCTCTGAATGCAGTGATACTAACAGATAAACATGCCTCCTCTCATGTCCAAGGTACTCATTTAATCACCAGCTTTTATGTATGCTATTCCATACCAGGAGAGGTTCTGCAGTTAATCTGGGCTCCGTATCTCGAAAGGTTCGCTATGTTGCGCACGTGCGCAAGCGTCTCGATTCCATGGCCCCGTATCTCGAAATAGAATCGGTTAAGGAATCGAGACACTTGCGCACGTGCACAACATAGCTAACCTTTCGAGATACGGAGCCCTGATTGCATTCAGCAAGGGCCCACAGGGAGTTGGATAGATCTATAGTTTCACAGGGAATGAGTTCACACACATTCAGATTTGTAAGTGTATGACCATGTATCCACAGCCTACCTCTGTCCCTGTCTGCAGTCTGGTGAGGGGAGCAAACACATTAATACCTGCCAACTGCACCACATACACAGTCACCTGGTCCTGTAGAAACAACAAAACAGATAACATTCTTTAAACAATATTCTTTAAATAGTATTCTTTTTTTTTTTGGTAGTAATACCTACCATTCTAAACAGAAAAATATTTACAGCTCTTTACCTCATGGCTTTTGTTTTAATTATCCTGTTGTCTTATTAGCAATAAGGCTCAATTCTTATTTATCTACTAGTACAACAAATTTCTTGCAAATAATGGTGTAATAAATCTGTCACTTTACCTGTGAGTATATCACAGTTTCCCCGGTCTCCGAGTCCATCCCCACTGCCTTCCCAACCACAGTGGTGTCCCCAAGACTCTCTGCATCTATCAGGCCACCAGAAGAGATACTGGCAATGTTGGGGTCCAAGATGGAGTAGTCCACCGTGGACTGGGGTTGGGGACCCCCATAGCTGGTGACCTGGGTAAATGAAAAGCAACAGTCCCAGCACAAGTTTTTAAAACAGATACTGTTTGTTTCAGAAAACTTTTATTTTAGTCATTTTACTAACAAAAACCNAGACAATACATTCTCCCTCACAGTATACCAAGTGATGGACAAAAAATCAGTCACTTTTCAGGAACACACTTCAAAAGCACCTCTCAATGGACCTCGTCTTGTGCCTGTTCTAGCAAGAGGGTGGCCCATCCTGGCCTCAAGCAATCAAATCTTACCCATATGCTAAATTTAAAAAAAAGTATTAAATACTTCACAACTTTCTTCAAAATCAAATTTAATGTCATTGATTTATTACAAACTTTTCCTGAGAGTATCCAGCATTTACAACCATTCCAACCCCTGACTGGCCATATATCTTATACCTTGTAATACACAGACTTGAGCTCCACAACCTCCTTGTTGTTGATGGTCCAATAGAAGCTGAGAGGAGGCACCGCCGTCCCAAATGTGAATGGAGTCTCGTGTTCATTCATACCCATCGCATACAGAGGCATCTGAAATAATCACCAAAGAATTAGGCACAAAAAAATCTCTTGAAAATTAATAAGCATAAAATTTCCAATTAAGCACTAAAATCTCAACGGAAACTTTGGAAGCATATAATATCTATGTGTTACATTTTAATCTTCCCTCTGTGCAACTGGTGCTCTATCACAAGGCTAATTCTCGACAACACTATTGTTCAAAATTGATCGATCCAACTCCAACTCTCTGAATGCAGTGATACTAACAGATAAACATGCCTCCTCTCATGTCCAAGGTACTCATTTAATCACCAGCTTTTATGTATGCTATTCCATACCAGGAGAGGTTCTGCAGTTAATCTGGGCTCCGTATCTCGAAAGGTTCGCTATGTTGCGCACGTGCGCAAGCGTCTCGATTCCATGGCCCCGTATCTCGAAATAGAATCGGTTAAGGAATCGAGACACTTGCGCACGTGCACAACATAGCTAACCTTTCGAGATACGGAGCCCTGATTGCATTCAGCAAGGGCCCACAGGGAGTTGGATAGATCTATAGTTTCACAGGGAATGAGTTCACACACATTCAGATTTGTAAGTGTATGACCATGTATCCACAGCCTACCTCTGTCCCTGTCTGCAGTCTGGTGAGGGGAGCAAACACATTAATACCTGCCAACTGCACCACATACACAGTCACCTGGTCCTGTAGAAACAACAAAAACAGATAACATTCTTTAAACAATATTCTTTAAATAGTATTCTTTTTTTTTTTGGTAGTAATACCTACCATTCTAAACAGAAAAATATTTACAGCTCTTTACCTCATGGCTTTTGTTTTAATTATCCTGTTGTCTTATTAGCAATAAGGCTCAATTCTTATTTATCTACTAGTACAACAAATTTCTTGCAAATAATGGTGTAATAAATCTGTCACTTTACCTGTGAGTATATCACAGTTTCCCCGGTCTCCGAGTCCATCCCCACTGCCTTCCCAACCACAGTGGTGTCCCCAAGACTCTCTGCATCTATCAGGCCACCAGAAGAGATACTGGCAATGTTGGGGTCCAAGATGGAGTAGTCCACCGTGGACTGGGGTTGGGGACCCCCATAGCTGGTGACCTGGGTAAATGAAAAGCAACAGTCCCAGCACAAGTTTTTAAAACAGATACTGTTTGTTTCAGAAAACTTTTATTTTAGTCATTTTACTAACAAAAACCTTTATTAATATCTCTTCATAAATCAGGTACCATTTTGTTCAGATCACCAATATTTAATTACACTACTTCTCCACAAATCAAGATTCATTTTAATAAAATGTCGAATTCAACTTTAAAAACAACCAATACGCTATGTTTTTTTTTTACACTAACAATTTTTACTCACTTGAAACTGTGCTCCAATAATGAGTGTTATGTTTCTTGGATCCAGTCTAAGCGGTGGGAACACCTAGAGATGAGACACCGTAAACACCAATTACAATTTTAACCAAATCTTATTCCATTTCAATTTTTAATAAAATTTGACATTCAATCGAGTGGTTGTGCACAGAAAAAAAAAATCAAATTCTCAATTTTCAACATGACACTGACATAAAACTTGAATATGATCATTAAAAAATCACCCAGCCCTTCTACAACACTATTTTTACCTGTATATCTTTGGGTTCACTGGAGATCAGTTCTCCAGACTTCAGGTTGGCCAGGTAAGACAAACTGGTCTGACCTAAACTCAGGCCATGGACAATATAAAAAGCTGTAAACTCCTCCGTGTGATCAGGCCTGAAATATACTGAGATTTAGCCATCTTTCCAGGCAAGTCTTCTTCATTGCATTATTCTCTACTATCACATTTCTCCTCTACTGCAATGAGCAACAGCAAGTTGTCACACAAGACATGGTCTGCACATAATACCTTATAGTAATAAATCAATTTACCAATATTCATTCCATTTTCAACAACAACAACAACAACAACAACAAAAAAAAAAAAAAAAAAAAAAAAAAAAAAAAAAAAAAAAAAAAAGTTTCAAGGAATAACCAAAGCAAGTTTGTGGTTGATTTTCTAGGAACTTCCCTGCACCCTTTGGTTCTTTCTCACCTGACAGATATGATTTCAGAGCCAGTTTGTGGTTTAAGGTTCATCAGAGGGAAGTAAGAGGCCGCTAATGGTTTTCCATCGTGGTCCAACACACGAACACTGGCGACTATTTTTCTTCCAAGCTCAACCTGAGATCGTTAATATCAACATTATTTTTACAACACATATATAAAAACTCTTTACATACTTTCAGTTCTACTTTTTTATACCATGGCAACTGACAAAACAAAAGAGAAAGTCATTCCGTATCTCAAATACACTAATGTTATGCATAAATATAAGTTACACCTTGCATGGGTTTTTTGTTTTCGCCATCCACAACTTGTCAGCAGGATGTAGCTTTAACACACTAAGGGAATATTAGTCTCACCTTATCAACGACCTTGACCTGGATAAGGCTGACCCCTGATATGCTGACCTCTGACCTGGCGTGCTGTGGTTGGTCCAGACACAGATCAAAGGCTGTGATGGCAAGGAATCCATCATGAACTGGGCTTACCTGAAAGCAATGAGTTTAATATCTATAAGAGAAAATTTCCTTTTGATAAATATCTAATTTTCAATTAAACCACATTCAAGGTACACTTTTAACTCGATCATGTTACAAGACCTTCAATTATCTTTTAAATGCTTTATTGCTTTCTCTGCGACATCATTACACGTACTTGAGAGATCAAATCAGTTTGGAAGCCCATGAACAGAATCAAGTTTCAAGAACAAAACCCTGCCAGTACTTTTTTCTCTTAAAAACAAGGACAATTTCATTGAAATATACTGCTTTGATCATGACTCCGTGCACTCCACAGTCTGGGCTGGCAAACTGATGTGTGGCAGAGCTTTCCAAAACACATTTCAATTTAGCTACTCTGGATTAAAGTAACAAATCCTTTCAATCATCCTAACCCAAACAGGAAACTAAATAGCTGGCTCGCATTACTACTAAGAAAATGCCCACATTTCTAAATGCCAGTGAAGGCAATGATATATTCTAAGCGCTCAGTAGGGAAAGTAATGATGATATGTGTACAAATCTATGTCCATTTCTCCTAACAACAAACCTTTGAAAATACTACACTGTGATCTACCTGTCTCGGGGCTAAATCAAAAGTGAACCAAGGTAAATGTATCTGGTTTAACAGCCTTTAGGTAGGAGAGACAAGTTACTACAATATATTACTCCTAGGTAATCTACTTGAGAATAAAATCCAAGAATATTTAGAGTCCCAGTAAAAAAAAAAGGCATTCAGTCAAATCACCTTGAAAAATGACATTTGATATAATTTTTTTGTCATTTTCTCAATCCAGATCGCACTATAAATTGAGAGATTCGGAAGAAAAAAAAAACTTCTGGATTATTTCCTTTGAAGTTTGCTGAAGTTTCTACATGCTTACACTCACATTTGTTACAGATGTTAGTATAAGTATTATTTTCACTTCATATTAACTTGGGGGCCAGACTTGATAAGACCTGGCAATTAACTAAATGCATTGCCTAAACAGATGGGAAATACTTTTTACACAGGGTTATTAGTTCAACAACAGAAGTCCTGAATACAGAGCTCTTCCGAGTGAATCTCCCACTGAAATAATATTTACTCCCAAAATAAACGAGCCCACTGGTTCTTAATCAAAATATGAAGCGATTAATCATAAATCATTATCCTCAGTGAGTCAGTTTTTCCTGCTTCATAATCGTCATCTTAGAGATAATATTATAATGACAGAATCTTTCTCTAATCTTTCATATAGTGTTTCATGTGCATATTGTGATAATATCAGCTTAATCTGATGAACATATACAAAAAGAAGTTATTTTGATATACAATATAAATAACAAGTGGGTATACAGTGATTAAGAGATAGTAAAACTGAAAGCCAAATTGCACAAACAAAGCTATTATATAAATCTCTTAGATTTTTTCTAACATGCTCATGTTTCTTTTTTCTTGTCTAGTGTTATTGCCTTGTAGCATCATATTATATATATATAGGTTGTAATAAATGCTATTCATTTAGTATATATTCAGTATGCTGCACAGTTCTTCTTCTTGAGCAACTGATATCAGTATTATGAATACAATTCTTCAGAAACTTCCACCACAAAAATGAAAGTAACATAATAGTTGAGACAACCATTATAAAAACATTTCTATCTTTTTAGTTATTTGATATAGACCATATCTCTAAGTGTTATAGAATGGACATGAGGTGAAAAGTTTATCTAATTTCTCCAAGATTGCCCGTCTGCATGTTACTAGTACGTTATTCAGTGGTTTAGTTGCTTTGGGGTTCTGTTTGACTGCCTGTACTAATATATAGGTTATGCAACTTTACAAGATATGGACTAGTGTGGCACATTCCTTTTTGGTCTTGAATCTGTTTTTCCTTTTCTTACTTCTAAATTGTTCGTACAACATAAGTTTAGAATTTTACCTAAAGATATTACTATGCAGATTTTCTTTTTGAATTAGCTGTCTTTACTGCAGAAAATTAGAGGACACAATTTAAACCAAAATATTTCCAAAACAATTCTCGAAAAGAATTTTCTTTGCATACCAAAGACAAAGCCATTTTTGAACAGGTATATATGTTTTTCTACAAATTTAAGTTTGATCTTTTTAGCAACCTTTTAAAGCGTTCCCCAAAACAAATTTCAAAGCCCAGACTGGCCCCTTGGTATTGCCTTGTACAATCAGGATTTATGGGGTAATGACAGTTTTTTTTCTTCTCCACTGCTATGGAGAAAATATCTGTCTGTCATCAACAAGCAAACATTTGCTTTATGGCGGTTGCAATTTCAGTCTTTTGACTGACCTATTATTGTGAAATTAGAGGGCTTTGCTGACAGCCTGGAGGGCTGAACATCCAACATAACCACTTACTACTGCGACAGCACACACACAGGAATGACACTGGCACTTTTAAAACTGAGCTACGTTTAATTTTGAATTAGTGCCGAGCAAAAGAGAGTGTCATACTTATTTTACCAAAGCTGCCGAGCTAGAGAAAATGACACTTCTTCTGTCAAAGTATTTCAACCATGTGGGTAAATTACATCTGCTAAATTCAGGAGAAATTCTTGCATAATCTAATTTGGAAAAGGGGAGAAAAAAACCTGATCGACATAAACAGAGCTTCATTTAATTCATTGTGAAAGCAGTTGCTTTAATTGCTTATCAAATTTGTAGCCCAGGCACAATAAGCAAAACCACTTTCTACTTGTTTTTAGGTGGAATATTAAACTTAAAAAAAAAAGAAAAAAAAAAGGCACAAAAAAGAATGAAAAAAAAAAAACCTTTTGAATTGCTACATGTACCCTATGACAACTAACCTGAGCTAGAAATGACAACCTCAGCAAAAATGTACCACAGAGGTTGCATAACTTGAAATTAATACAGTGCAAGAGTCATAAAATTCCACGAAAACCCAATCATAAAAATCCTCAAATTTTAAATCGTGCCCGAGCTTGAATTCCTCATGATACTTGGCTACAAAAGCATAAACAGTTATCTCTAGAGAAAACATATGTCTTGTACTCTGTGCCCCATACCATCTGGGATAATCCCAATATATTCAAGATACAGTAACAAGGCCACTGAAACCACGTAAGGCTCCACACCTGGATAATAACCATGCCAAGTGAAGCAAACAGCTTCTGGATAGGGCAGATGTTCAGTTGGGGCCCTGGACTGTGTATGATCAATACCAGGCAGAAGTCTGATGTGCAGACACTTCACACACCACTCATAACCTGGTCATTCTTTTTATAGCAATCACTGGGGCAGCATGGATACTCGGATAATTCCAATAATTTCAGGCATGATTCTGTTCCTCTTCACCTGGATTCGGTCAACGGCCGAGGCGCTGAGCTTACCAGAGAAGAATTTCACACTGTCCATAGTGCAAGAGAAAGATGGGAATACAGCATATATCTATAACATCCACAGTCTTCAGATGCCTGACTGGGAGCAAGTACCTGAAGAGATACTAAGAAGAATGTGTCCGTGTCACCCAGGAGATACTAATCAAACACCACCACCACCACAGCCAATAAATAATGCAAATCACAACAATAACAACAGGTATATTAATTCAACACAGGTGTCCATTTTGGAGGAGATGTTTCGGGAACAGAGTGCTATGAAGGATATACTGGAACAGCAAGCCAGAGAGATAATGGGACAACAATATCAACTTCGGGAATTCAAGATCAGACTCGCAACACAGGAGCGCTACTCACGGAGACTAGAGCACAGATTAGCCAGGTTGGAAAATAAAAGCAACTCTCACAACGAAACACAGCGGCAACAATTGCAGATTTCCTCTCAGGAAAAGGAAATACTAAATCTCAAGGCTAGAATGGAAGAAATAATAAAATTGTTGGCAAAGAAATCCCATGTATCCGCTCCCATCAAAATTGACAAATTAGATAATTCAAGCAGCGGGGATATCATGCAAAGTGACATGCCTGCCTTAAGTGTTCCTACTCAAAGACCAGAGATAAAGTTATACCGAGGTAAGTCTTTATCTTCTTTCATTCCACGACAATGTATATATGTATCATTTTACCTGATGACATGCTTTTCCCCCTCAATACAAATAGCCCTTGTTGCTAAACAACATAGCCTAAAAATACAACATACAATGATAGAAAAAAAAAAAAAGAATGCTTATGGTGCCAATTATGGAACGAGTGAAGAGATGCGTGGAATATTGCCTGCCTCAAGTCTGTTAAGGTGTGAACTGCACCAGTGAACGGGTCAATGGGTTGAGACAAGGGTAAGTGCTTGACCAGGTAAAAAGCCATGGGGCAGCGGGCTTCAAGGTAACAGACTAACAGCAATGTTTTGGTCTAAATAACATGCTTAAACTTGTGGACCTTCAGACAGTGTATGAAGCTGCAAGGCAAACTTTGTTTGTTTTTTTATGATTAAATTTTTACTACCTGGTATCAAAAATTGATATAGTTCCTCCAATAGCAAATGCAAGTGATATACTTCTTGCAAGGTCTCTGTGACCAAATGTTATGTAAAACAAAGATTGTTCATTAATATCCAACAATATTTTGACAATTGTATATATCAATATTTCATTAAAAGAAAAAAAAAAAAGACTGCAGTCGCAAGTGTAACCAGCATATATGACATCAAAGTAAATGAGCACACCAAATTTTTTCTCAAGTAAAAATGCTGATAAAGGAACCCAATCCAACTGAAATCTTTTTACGTTTCTGGTCAATGCTACAGCAACAGAAATAGAGAAACAGAGATAGAGAGTGCAAACAACTGGCTTCAGTGTAAATCAACCCTCAGCCTGCTGACATTTGCTCAGGCGAGGTGGGGTGATGGAGCTGTCAGACGAGGGGGAATATATGGCAATTATCACCAGAAACAGAATTTTTAAAATAGATAGTTCAAAGTCCTCATCAGCAATTTATTTCCTGGCTGCTTTTTTAAACTCACATAACAATTAGGTCGTTTCCTGAAAGACGGGATATTTTGCTTCAAAGGTATGTAACCTTTTAAATCTTAGAGTCCACCTTCTAAGGCCTGTTCAAAAGTTTATGATGAAAATGATGAAAAGATTTAAAACAGTAAATTTTTGGATTATACAAAAAATATGTATCAACTGCAATCCCCCCCCCCCCCCAAAAAAAAATTAGTTTTCTCTACACACAACACCATGAAACGATGTTCAATATAAACTTGATGCAAGTTCCAAACATAACCCGGATACATGTGAAAGTATGGCGCACACATCTGTAGCCTCATTGCACAGTTATGAGTAGAATGGGCGACATTAAATATATATATATCCCATTTTCTAATAATAATAAGAGGGTGCAGAAATTACATGGATACCAACTCNTGTTTTTTCTTCTCCACTGCTATGGAGAAAATATCTGTCTGTCATCAACAAGCAAACATTTGCTTTATGGCGGTTGCAATTTCAGTCTTTTGACTGACCTATTATTGTGAAATTAGAGGGCTTTGCTGACAGCCTTGAGGGCTGAACATCCAACATAACCACTTACTACTGCGACAGCGTACACACAGGAATGACACTGGCACTTAAAACTGAGCTACGTTTAATTTTGAATTAGTGCCGAGCAAAAGAGAGTGTCATACTTATTTTACCAAAGCTGCCGAGCTAGAGAAAATGACACTTCTTCTGTCAAAGTATTTCAACCATGTGGGTAAATTACATCTACTAAATTAAGGAGAAATTCTTGCATAATCTAATTTGGAAAAGGGGAGAAAAAAACCTGATCGACATAAACAGAGCTTCATTTAATTCATTGTGAAAGCAGTTGCTTTAATTGCTTATCAAATTTGTAGCCCAGACACAATAAGCCAAACCACTTTCTACTTGTTTTTAAGTGGAATATTAAACTAAAAAAAAAAAAAAAAAAAAAAAAAAAAAAAAAAAAAAAAAAGAATGAAAAAAAAAACCTTTTGAATTGCTACATATACCCTATGACAACTAACCTGAGCTAGAAATGACAACCTCAGCAAAAATGTACCATAGAGGTTGCACAACTTGAAATTAATACAGTGCAAGAGTCATAAAATTCCACGAAAACCCAATCATAAAAATCCTCAAATTTTAAATCGTGCCCGAGCTTGAATTCCTCATGATACTTGGCTACAAAAGCATAAACAGTTATCTCTAGAGAAAACATATGTCTTGTACTCTGTGCCCCATACCATCTGGGATAATCCCAATATATTCAAAATACAGTAACAAGGCCACTGAAACCACGTAAGGCTCCACACCTGGATAATAACCATGCCAAGTGAAGCAAACAGCTTCTGGATAGGGCAGATGTTCAGTTGGAGCCCTGGACTGTGTATGATCAATACCAGGCAGAAGTCTGATGTGCAGACACTTCACACACCACTCATAACCTGGTCATTCTTTTTATAGCAATCACTGGGGCAGCATGGATACTCGGATAATTCCAATAATTTCAGGCATGATTCTGTTTCTCTTCACCTGGATTCGGTCAACGGCCGAGGCGCTGAGCTTACCAGAGAAGAATTTCACACTGTCCATAGTGCAAGAGAAAGATGGGAATACAGCATATATCTATAACATCCACAGTCTTCAGATGCCTGACTGGGAGCAAGTACCTGAAGAGATACTAAGAAGAATGTGTCCGTGTCACCCAGGAGATACTAATCAAACACCTCCACCACCACAGCCAATAAATAATGCAAATCACAACAATAACAACAGGTATATTAATTCAACACAGGTGTCCATTTTGGAGGAGATGTTTCGGGAACAGAGTGCTATGAAGGATATACTGGAACAGCAAGCCAGAGAGATAATGGGACAACAATATCAACTTCGGGAATTCAAGATCAGACTCGCAACACAGGAGCGCTACTCACGGAGACTAGAGCACAGATTAGCCAGGTTGGAAAATAAAAGCAACTCTCACAACGAAACACAGCGGCAACAATTGCAGATTTCCTCTCAGGAAAAGGAAATACTAAATCTCAAGGCTAGAATGGAAGAAATAATAAAATTGTTGGCAAAGAAATCCCATGTATCCGATCCCATCAAACTTGACAAATTAGATAATTCAAGCAGCGGGGATATCATGCAAAGTGACATGCCTGCCTTAAGTGTTCCTACTCAAAGACCAGAGATAAAGTTATACCGAGGTAAGTCTTTATCTTCTTTCATTCCACAACAATGTATATATGTATCATTTTACCTGATGACATGCTTTTCCCCCTCAATACAAATAGCCCTTGTTGCTAAACAACATAGCCTAAAAATACAACATTTAATGATAGAACAAAAAAAGAAAGAATGCTTATGGTGCCAATTATGGAACGAGTGAAGAGATGCGTGGAATATTGCCTGCCTCAAGTCTGTTAAGGTGTGAACTGCACCAGTGAACGGGTCAATGGGTTGAGACAAGGGTAAGTGCTTGACCAGGTAAAAAGCCATGGGGCAGCGGGCTTCAAGGTAACAGACTAACAGCAATGTTTTGGTCTAAATAACATGCTTAAACTTGTGGACCTTCAGACAGTGTATGAAGCTGCAAGGCAAACTTTGTTTTTTTATGATTAAATTTTTGCTACTTGGTATCAAAAATTGATATAGTTCCTCCAATAGCAAATGCAAGTAATATACTTCTTGCAAGGTCTCTGTGACCAAATCTTATGTAAAACAAAGATTGTTCATTAATATCCAACAATATTTTGACAATTGTGTATATCAATATTTCATTAAAAGAAAAAAAAAGACTGCAGTCGCAAGTGTAACCAGCATATATGACATCAAAGTAAATGAGCACACCAAATTTTTTCTCAAGTAAAAATGCTGATAAATCCAACTGAAATCTTTTTACGTTTCTGGTCAATGCTACAGCAACAGAAATAGAGAAACGGAGAAAGAGAGTGCAAACAACTGGCTTCAGTGTAAATCAACCCTCAGCCTGCTGACATTTGCTCAGGCGAGGTGGGGTGATGGAGCTGTCAGACGAGGGGGAATATATGGCAATTATCACCAGAAACAGAATTTTTAAAATAGATAGTTCAAAGTCCTCATCAGCAATTTATTTCCTGGCTGCTTTTTTAAACTCACATAACAATTAGGTCGTTTCCTGAAAGACGGGATATTTTGCTTCAAAGGTATGTAACCTTTTAAATCTTAGAGTCCACCTTCTAAGCCTGTTCATGAGTTCATGATGAAAATGATGAAATGATTTAAAACAGTAAATTTTTGGATTATACAAAAAATATGTATCAACTGTAATCCCCCAAAAAATCATTTTGTTTTCTCTAAACACAACACCATGAAACGATGTTCAATATAAACTTGATGCAAGTTCCAAACATAACCCAGATACATGTGAAAGTATGGCGCACACATCTGTAGCCTCATTGCACAGTTATGAGTAGAATGGGCGACATTAAATATATATATCCCATTTTCTAATAATAATAAGAGGGTGCAGAAATTACATGGATACCAGCATNACACACAACACCATGAAACGATGTTCAATATAAACTTGATGCAAGTTCCAAACATAACCCGGATACATGTGAAAGTATGGCGCACACATCTGTAGCCTCATTGCACAGTTATGAGTAGAATGGGCGACATTAAATATATATATATCCCATTTTCTAATAATAATAAGAGGGTGCAGAAATTACATGGATACCAACTCAAGCATTCCTGTAGAATTCAGTCACACCATGTTCAACAGCACTTAGGAGAGCTACTATGGAATGCTCTCAGAGCGTATGAGAAATAAGTGATGTCATAAATCCAAATATTATATATATATAACTGCTTATTCCATCTTTAAATGTCACTTTGATTTTCCTGTTGCTTTCCTTTGTTAGGAAACTGGGTGGTATTTTAGAAGAGTTGGAGCTTCAGTGTTTTGTTTTACTTTCACAGAGAGAGAGAGAGCCTTCTTCAGAAAATTCACCATAGTTTAAGAATAGAAGCTCAGAACTCAACGTTTGCCATGTTTATATAAAGGCATCCATCTGCCTTTGTTTCCATCAAGACAAAAGAAACAATACAATCTTTGTGCATGGAATTCACCACCAAATTGCGGAAACTCCCCTAAAAATATAAACTTAAGCAGGCAACAACTAAATAACAGACAGGCTGAGAAAAATAAATGACGAAAAATTTGCCACCACAAAAATAACACATCTTATAAAGGAACAATCGCCAGATTTTTCCATCAAAAGTGTTGCCAATTATCATGCAAAATTCCCCTCAACAGCATTCCTAAGTATTCCAAATAACCCTGTGGTCTAGACAGATGTAACTGCTCATAGGAACAAAACATTTCCTTTTTTTTCTCCACAGGTAATCGTCTTAGTTGAAGCTTTGTTTAGCTAAGCGCAGGAACATTCTTAACATCAGCTGAGAAAATACCACCAAGGTTTCCATTTGTCTTTCAGTTAAAGGTTACATGCTTATTGGCTTTGACTGACAGAGCCCAGTTCTTTAGACAGGGGTACTTAGTCTTCTGGAATCCCAGAAAGATTACCACCTCCACTTGAGAGCATTCGGACGCCTGCATAAATTGCGAGTTATTCATGCACGAGATAATTTCTTCAAGTGGATTAAAAATAGAAAGATTCCTATCTCATAGCTTGCTGCATCCAGAAGTACACTGTACTGTATCTTTCAACTAACCTAACCCAACTATCTATCTATGCAGTAAAAAAAAAAAAAAAAAAAGCAAATGAGATCAAATTACTGTAAATCCTATTAAATAACTGCATTCCAAGAAATGAGAAAAATTTCAAAAATGATTGTAAAACAATATCTACATGTAGGTTATTTCAGGTCACTTGTAACTAAGTACTTGAACCTGAGGGTTGAGGGGTTCAAATAAAATGGAAAACACGTGGAATAATGTTTCCTAGGTGGCCATCTTTTTAAAAACTAAAAATTGATTGTTGCGCAATGATTCGATATAATACAATAAGCATGTACATAAAGAATGTTATAATTTTGCTTTACAAGAATATTGTGATGAATATCTATCTATATATATATATTCTTAACTTGAATCATTTTAATTTTAAATATGGCTGCCTGACAAATAACTTGACAAACCAGCAACTCTGTAAATTCAATCAGCACAAATTTGTAGACAATGCTCAATTCCAAACAAAATCTTGGTTGTTGAAGTCATTGGTTCATCAATAAGTTTGTCTTGCTGCCATGTTCAAAATAAAAGGGGTTTTCATTGAAAAACCAATGTGAAAATGTTGGTCCAATCTTAACAGTTTTCATTACCAAATCTCTTTAAGATTGTTCTGAACTCTATGGCAATGGACATACCCCGGGCGGTGTATTTAAAATTCATCCTTCCAACAGCAGCGCACCCTTTGAAGTTGTGTGCGACGGCAAGTGGACAGTTATACAAAGGAACCACCTCCACAGCAGGACCAACTTTGATAGAGGTAGGTGAGAGTGAGATCTATCTAATAATTTCCCCTTTAACAGAGGGAGATGTTTTGCTGAAGTATCCATAGTGACCCTGGTGCAGGAAAAAACATCAAAAATGCCACAATGTAGAAAATTCTGCTGAAGGATGATTCTTATTCTACAATTATAGCTTTGATAGATCTTTGTAATCCTCCATTATTTAAATGACAGGAATATGTTACTTAAATATCTCTTCTTCAAAATCCTAGTCTGTCTGTATAGCAAAAATGAAAGTTGCTGGTAAAATAACACAGACGGGAAAACACTTTTAGTAATTACAATTTTTTAAATTTTTATTTCAGGTTGGAAAGATTACAAAGATGGCTTCGGCAACTTTGACTCTGACTTCTGGTTAGGAAATGACAAGATCCATCGGCTGTCTAGCGTCAAAACCCGGCCATTCATGCTCAAGATAGAAATCTGGAACATGTGAGGTTTGCTATGGTATCTATTTGTGTGGGGTCTGAACACGATAGCCACTTCAAATGATTAGGATAATTCTATTGAGGAACGAGATGCTGGAATAAGTATTTAAGCACCTGAATAATGTGCCAGCCCTGACATACCCTGATGGCTAATAAGATACCAATTATTGAAAAGTCCACCATTCTTTGCTGCCACAATGATGACATGACAATGGGACAATTGAAATGAAATATCTGATAAATTTAATCTGGTTTTCACGAAATAATGTCTGTTGCAGTCAACTGAAAATTGAGTCCACACAAGCATAGACTGCTACAGGGTTTATTCCATTCATTTTTTTTCTTTCAAATCGTAAAGAAAAAATGCACATAAAGATAGTTTAACATGAGCATGTTTACCAACACAGCTGTGAAAACTTACTGAACACACACTTTTCTTTTTAAAAAGCTTATAAAACACCACAGTCTTCATCCCACAACAACAAAAACAAGAAAGTGAGCTTTCTCGAGGAACTCATTGTAAACAAACAAATAAAAATAAATAAATAAATATATAAATAAAAGAAAATTTCTGATATCACACACAGATTATTATTTTTAAAAAAACCTGTTAGTCGAGACTAAAAGGATTAGGTGACTCAGGTTAAGTCAGACACCTGGCATTTGGCAGTTATTCAGGAAATTGTCCATATTGTCTTTGATGTAACAGTGTCCCCGAAGGGAAACAAGTCTGGCCTAGGTTTGTCACTGTGGTAACTGTGGGTGTTTTACTCAGCTGTCAATTATATTTAACCATATAACTTGACAACAAAAATGCCACTCTATTTTGTCAGAGAAGTCTACTTTCAAAGCCCCTCCCCTCCCCCAACCCCATCCCCCAACCCAAATGTTAATTTTTCCAGATGCTTTCTTTAAACCCTATTTCTCAGATCTTCAAAAGAAGTCCTGTTTGAATGTTCTCCTTCAGTCAATATCTCTCCATAGAATCAATGTCACATGGCACTTTTCAGTGTATGATGTTTTCCTTGCCTGGAGCCAATTTTATGAAAGATGGTCTAGAACCTTTGTTATTTATGATGAATCCATATCTCTGTACCTAAGAAGGAGGCCAAAGATAATTTCTATCCAGCTAAGTAGCTCCCTCAAGCATACTATCTGATGTTGACCAAAATTGCTTTCTCCGACCCAGAGGACCCATTATATACTGCTAGGGTATGCAGAGGCTTATTATTTTCCTAACCCTTTGCTTGAATAGACTGTGAAATAAGAATAGGAAGTCTGTAATAGGGAGAGTGGAGTGGAGATAGGAACAATTAGCACTAGCTGCTGTGTCTGACATTCTTTCCTTTGTCAAAGAAGCAAAGGCGTTCATACCCGTAAAAGTTAAAAACCAAATTTGACTTTCCTTTTTGCTTAAAAGTTAAATATTTCAGCTGCATATTAATCATTTTAAGAACAGAAAAACAGTGACATCTACATAGGACAAAAACACCCTAGCCATCAGTTTAAGTGCAGTGTGCAGCATGGCACTTCCATCAAAATTTGAAGAAAATGAGGGAATTGGACTGCAGTATGTGGTTTATTTTTATCTGAAACCATTAATTTAAATGCACAACCCCATATCAAATATTTGTAAGGTCAATAAGGACATGCCATGCCATGGCATTTAAAATCATCTACATGATCTAATTTTTGGTCATAAAAACCAGACACTTGATATATAACTGGGAAATTAGCAGGAATACAAAAAATACACAATGCATACAAGCATTTTTTCTGTATAAAAAAAGAGAAATATACAAGGAATTCATAAGAGGAGGAAGCAATCAAGTGATAAATGTCAATGCAATTGAATAGACTATGGTAGTAGCATTGTTCTCTAAAGCAGCCGTTCAACAAAAGCCATTTTTATCGAGCATCAATATCTCATAAAACACAGGTTGCCTTCAAGGGGTAATCAATTTGATTATTGTCCGGAGACATGTTTTAATATGTTCAATAACAGTCATAATACATTCATTTATTGTCACTAAATATAAAAGGCAATTACAATGGAAATGTTATTATGGATGAATGATATAAATTTACCAGAATGTCTGCTTCTGACTCAGCTAAAAAAGGCAAGAAAACCTGTAGTTGCCCTAGCATTACCTCTGCTTTCAACCACATAAAAAATATGACAGCGATCAAAACACAGCTCAAAAGATAAGATAAATCAATGATAAACTGACGACCATTTATCAACACATTTTATCAAATAAAATAACACAAAAACATTTTCCCCTTTCAGCTATGAATCCAAGAGCTTCTATGCACAATATGGCTACTTCAGAGTGGCAAACGAGGCCAAGAACTACTCCCTCCACGTACAGGGTTACTCTGGCAATGCAGGCGACAACCTCAACTATGGCTCCATCCTGGGACCATTTTATCACCACGGGAGAGCATTTACGACACTGGACAGAGACAATGACCGGTGGCATGCTGGGAACTGCGCCCAGACCAATGGAGGGGGTTGGTGGTACGACAACTGCCTGACTGCAGACTTGAATGGGGACCTGTACTGGTATCCCTTGGGAACCATCAGTAAAAGTGTCATGAAGATCAGACCTATTGATAACTCATAGCACTACTTGACACAATGAGATACCTTTCACAGTGTAGCATAATATGTTGGATATAACTTGGTTTCCAGTGAGACACAAGACCCTGAAATCTATGTTAGGGAAATAATTCATATAATACAATGACTCAAACTGCTGTCACGCCAGCTGACACCCAATATGACATGTATGGAAGATAACAATAAGACTACAAAAAGCACACTGGCATACCCAATTTATTTTCACAGCTAACACACTGCCACGCCCAATGTGCAGTCCCAGCTAACACTGTCACATCCAATGTGTTGTCACAGCTAACACACTGTCACATCCAATGTCTTGTCACAGCTAACACACTGTCACACCCAATGTGTTGTCACGGCTAACACACTATCATGCCCAATGTGTTGTCACACCTAACACACTGTCACACCCAATGTGTTGTCACACCTAACACTATCTAAATCCACATGCATTATTTGAAGTATAGCTCCATCACTGCCAAAACTCTCAGGTCTCGAGAAGTGTATTGCAGAGTATGTCTTTCAAATATCTTGTTTGTTAATGTTAAATACTAAAGGAAACAGGTCACACACAAACGCACACACACCAACAGACTCTCAGAGACATTACCCGATGAGAAACAGTTCTGTCAAGAACAAATGGATCCCCAAAGACTTCATGTTAATTAAATAACTACCGCTGTATCACTGCCAAGAATAATCCCACGAGAAATCATGATCATATTAAAGTCATCACCTGCACAATTTTCTTCTTGCCATCGTAACTGACTTGTGCGATGTTTGGAGGGACAGAACTGATCTTGAAGTGTCCAGAGCCTTTTTCAACTTTCAACGACACCTGTGAGAAATAGAATAATCAGATTATACAAGGTGAAATGCAATGCTGAACTGTACTGACCACATCAATTCATCTGTTATTTATAAGTTTATGCTGTATGACAAGTCAAGCGAAGAAAAGGTTCTAGGTTTAACCATTTTATTGATATTTTAGTACTTAACTTAAAAATGAGTCTTAAATGCTTACATCTGAATACAGATGATCTGTAAATATTAAGTTGTAAATAAAATAATTATGAAACTTGTATTTATTAATTCTACTGAAAAGAAGGCTAATGTAATTATTATACAATGAGTTAATTGTTTTACACAACAGCTATTTTTAACCTCTTATCTATTTTCTAACAATTTATGACTTCTCACTATTTAAGTACAAATGTGCTGAGGGAAATGCTAATAGCGATAAAATATGATTTCATGCCTTTTATCTACTAGCAAATATTCTTTCAGCTTGACAGCTGTGGGTTTACCTTAAGACAGGAAATTTCTTTAAGGTTCAACAGGTGAGTCATCAAAGGATAACAGACAATAAGGTTATGTTAAACAAATCCTAAAGCAAGTAAGTAAGCAAGCACAAAAAAGAAAAGAAAAGAAATCTTGTAGAAAGAAATTATACAACTGAAATAATTCCAATTCTGTAAGAAATGACATGAAAATATGGCTAGTTCTTACCTTGTTGGAAGGATGATTGAATATTGAGATGAAGGCAGGAACTATGACAGAATCCTCAACCAACATCAGCTCTAGAGACCGACTAATAGGAGGATCAATGCTCTCCTGGGAAAAAATAATGACACTCATCTCACTGGAAATCCATGTAAACAGATTACAAATGACAAATTTTGCTCTAAAGTGTCTGTTCATAGGACATCCATCAATATTTCACTTCAGATTTTGCATAAGGATATGCAAAACCCAATCACTTCACAAGTTCATATTTCATCCTAAAGGAAAAAAAAATGATCGATGTTTCATCTTAGGGTGTACCATTTATAAAATTTCAAAATATTTTCTGTGTCAAAAACCTCTATATCAAATTCAATCACATAAATTGTCAGAAACATTTTAGGTCACTTAACCAGATGACCTTTACATGTTATCCAGCACATACCTCATATGTTATCCTGGCCAGCGTGAAGTATTTACGGTCATATCTTTGCACAGTAGCTGTCACGGTCAATGAACCTAGCTTTTCCTTCATGTACAATGTCTTGAAGCCTGGTCACAATGGGAGACGCCAATAAATAAGCATATTTTATCAATTCCATATTTTACGCTGCCATTGGGTAATATATCTTTGGTTCAAATTCAAAATCAACATAATGGTCAGCTAAAAGGTATCAGGTACCCATTATTTATGTTAAAGATTATTTTATATTCTCTCCAATCAGATTTATAGTAGAACTTTTGTAAGACTGGAAGAAGGAAGTCAGCAAGCACATGTCTCATGCTTAATATAAACACAACAAGTGTATGATACAATGCCCATGCATTTTGAAGTAAATAATATATTAATTAAACATAAATGATGTTATAAATGATGTATACAATAATACTGCAATATTAAGCATAGCTCTGACTGCAGTTTAGATTTTAATCTCCAAATTGTATTTTTAAAAAATCCCAGCAAATAAAAACTTACATCTGACCAATTTCCTCCCGGTCTCTAACACTGTCACATCTGTGTCCACTCCCTGGAGACTGTCCAGACTGGCCAGAGAGTGGTCAGATACATCCCAGTCAAACACCAGAGAGGAGAAGTTGTCAAACTTTCTGCCCTGGCTGTCTGTGACCGTCACCAAGATGTCCAGGTTTTTGTAGCAGTGGACTGGGATCTAATTTGTTTAAAAGTTCGTATGAAATAGCGGTATACTTTGAATCATTTTTGTCATAAAAAATCCATTTTCTTTTCATACTTTAAAAGCAGTTTTTACTGAGAACAGAGAACAAGAATTCAAATGCAAAAAAAATTGTATTTAAATCACTGATAAAAGACTCAATTATGTACCAGCACATTCAGGAGAATGGGTATTAGGCATAACACAGGGAAATGTACTTAAAATTATTTTATTTATGACCCCCCCCCCCCCCCCCCCCCCCTTCACAAATACTACCTATACCATTCCATTTTGAGTGAATATTAATCATGCAAACATTTAAAACCATTCCCACACACAGTATGCATGTTGCAGACTTACAGGTTCAGCAGAGTCCAGAGAAATGGGACATGGGGGCAGGCCTATGTCTGCTTGCTTAATGTCTGGCTGGAGATGTAATCCTACTGGTGGGGCACAGGCAAACCTGAGACGATAACAGACACTTATATTACTGCAGTCATATACCACCAAAAACCTGATCAAGACAGTTCAGTTGGGGTTTCCAAAAATTATGTTGAAAACTTGAATACCTGAGCACACACAGATTTCCAGTGTTTTTTTTTTAGACACTTATGAAATAGTTGTATGTGCTTAATATTTGGATTTGGGAGAACTTCATTAAAAACTTATATTAGATTGTCTATTAATGTCTAAATAACTACGGTGACCAACATCTACCCTTTTCAATTTATCCACATATCTTGACATTCTGAGATCTTTTATACACCAACTATCACTAGTAATATATATCAACAGAACTCCAATAAAAAAAGACCTTTGTAAAATCAATAATGACTGTCTGAGTAGTTTTACCTGATGGAAGCAGTCGCTACAGCTGGGAAAAGGTTTTGGGCAGTTTTACCGTTTCCAACACTGACTGTCAACTCTTGCTCCTCCAGACCACGGCACAACACATGGAAGATGTGTAATGTCTCTGAAGGCATGTATAATAACCATATGACTAACATCATATTCAATATCGGCTGTAATTTATATGATATCAATAAAGGAAATTGAGCACATTAGACAGGGACAATAAAATCACTGTTAACAGGATACATACGACTACTTTTTAAAGTAAATTTAAATATTATCTAATTTTTTGTAGATGGTAAATACACTATCTACTGACAATGTCTATGACTGATTTTTCAACAGTGCCATGTGTTTGTATTAAATAATAACTTACTTTGTGTGCCATGACCAGGTAGATGGACAATTGACAAAACATCCGACTTCTCAGGCGTCACTGATAAATGACAAGTAAAGAATCATGTCATGCTTGCACAGACAAAAACATCCACTCATTTATTTCTTTAAAGTAAATATTAAATATTACCAACTCTGGTCACTTCATCAACAGCAACATAATGATAAAGTAAAGCAATATGACAGGTAAAAGTAAATTTTATACAAAAAATTATCTAATCATTGGTGGAATGGAAATTCTTAATGCCCCACATAGAACTAAATCCTAGTTACATGTTCTGAAGTATGTTGAGGAATCCAGCACCCAGGGCTGCGGGCCTCCATCAAATATCACCTCCTTGGACGCACCAAGAGTTACCACAGCAACACTTTCAGGATCTATTGCCTGGATAAGAAAAGTTTTCCAAATAGTAATAACTGTCAAAAATAGTAATTGGTATTTAAATTATGGAGAAATGTTTATATAATGAAAAAATATTTTTTTTACCACTCCTTCAGTCTCAGTGTAAAACAATACACAAGGTAGAGCAAGTTGTAAAAAAGAAAAAAAAATGAGCTGAACAACATTTTTCAGGGACCATTATACTATGCTTAAAGGGATAATAACTCTTTATATGAGATTTATATTTCACAATAAAAACATTGTGAATAACTCGCAGAAATATAATATATTCTGTTTTACCACAAAAACAGCAGTTATAGCTATTATTCTGATACCTGAGCTGGTCTTCAGACCACATGACCTCCATTGACGGCTATACTCTGTTATAATCTCTTAAGAGATTTTAACAAAAAAACAAACTTTTTAGTAAAACACCAGGGACTAACTTTGAATGTAAAAATGGATTCATTAACCATTGGTAAGTATGGGAAAATTGTTGTTTACTCCAGGAAAATTCATTTTTTGGCCAAAACAAAGAGTTATTATCCCCTTAACCTTCAAAACAGCTGCTTTTACCTTTAAACAAAAAGAAAATAAACTAAATCAATTGCAAATCCTGCTTTTATGGACTTAATTGGTAAACCTATATAAATCTGAATCAATTGTAAATCGGGATTTTATGAACAAGTGGTTAATCAATGAGAATCATCTAAAAAGAATAAAAAAAACCACCAGATAGCAAAAAACACAATGAAATGACCCACAGTAAATAAACTTTCAAGTCCGTTTTTACCTGCAATGGCTTGTAAGCAGCAATGGTGATAACACTCCGCAACTTGACTTGTGCATAAGAATATTCAGCCACAATCTTAGTGTGTCCAAGTCTAAGTGCTCTCACTCTCACTGTCATACAGCTGTCAGGAAGGAGAGGTAGGGTCTCTGGAATATTTGAAACTTTCAAAATCGTTTGTGGATTTTTAAAAGGTTTCTTAAGCGTTAGGCTTATCTCTTGAAGACAACATTCATGACTTCAAGAAACAAAACAGTAAATTTCAGACCACTTCTGTGAACCAAATCTACACTGCCACTTTCATTTAAAATTTTACCAAATGCCTAACATAATGTTTAAATTTATTTATTCTTTCATTCACTTATTTATCAATACACATATTTTTTCCTGCACATTTTTCACTAATTTTGACGAAAAATCAAATATTTGCCTTCTGAGAGAAGTTAGTAAGAATGACCAAATCATGTATCATTTCCTGGAACAAACACTTAAAATATACAAATTCAGAACTTGTCTCCTTACCGTCCACCTCCTCAAAGACAGCTGTGTCCATCACGGTCACATTGATGGGAACCTTCCTGCAATCATTAAAGATGTACCTTTCTCCTGAAAATAAAACATTTAAACTCTCTTCAGTGAGTAGCATACAAGATAAACTAATGTCAAAGATAACTTGGACAGCAATTATCACAGATGTTTGCTACTACATAGACACTACATAAAGAACAGTTTTTTTTTTCTTTTAGCTTTCTGATGAAAGTCTGGATAGCATATGGAACAAAAGACTGTGAAAAGGCCTGTGCCTCTCTTACAAGACAAAGCTAACACAACTGCTTTAAAAAAACAAACATATCACCTAATATAACTGTCCTCATTATTCTGGTGGATAAGCTTCACAAGCCATGTATTCGACATGTACACTCCCAGCAAAACTACAATACTAGACAGTTTTATATTTTTCCAAGCATTCTCACCCTTTGCAGTCTCAGCAAATAAAGCCAGAGGTAAGTCCAGGTTGCTTCCTAATTCTGCCTCAACTTTGGAAGGAATAAACTGCAGGTCAACGGGTGGAAGCACATAGACCTGAAAATTAAATAGGTACCTTTGTAAATTGTGGAGAAAAACTTCATGATCACCTCCTACAAAACAGTTTCTCTAGATATAATTTCCCTAATTGTGGTGCTATATGAACAAAAAAAAAAAAAAAAAAAAAAAAAAAAAAGTGTGTCACTTACATCCAGAGTAGCACGGGCATGAGCAGATGACACCAGTGTGACAAGTAATTATGATTGGATCCACACACGCTGCTGGATGAAAATGAATCCAGTAATACTGAATAATTGACATTATTACCTTGCTGGATCTTGTATATACTGTTTTTAACATTCCATTAACCCCAGTTAGAGTCAGTATACATGTATATAATTACCTTGCTGGACCCTGTATGTGCTGTGTTTCTCACATCAGCTGCAGTTACAGCAGTCTCCCCAATGTTAGCAGTGGTGATCTCTCCCTTCACATTCACTGCTGCCACGCTACTTTTGGATGAGGTCCAGGTGTAGTTGCCACTGCCCCCAGTTGCCTGGAAATGAAATAAAAATTTCACTTTTTGCATATCTATTTACTCTACTGAAAATGCTAAGAAAATACCNTCCCCCCCTACAAAAAAGTTTTCTCCAGAATAAATTTCCCTAATTGGGGGGTTATGAAAAAAAAAAAAAAAAAAAAAAAAAAAAAAAAAAAAGTGTGTCACTTACATCCAGAGTAGCACGGGCATGAGCAGATGACACCAGTGTGACAAGTAATTATGATTGGATCCACACACGCTGCTGGATGAAAATGAATCCAGTAATACTGAATAATTGACATTATTACCTTGCTGGATCTTGTATATACTGTTTTTAACATTCCATTAACCCCAGTTAGAGTCAGTATACATGTATATAATTACCTTGCTGGACCCTGTATGTGCTGTGTTTCTCACATCAGCTGCAGTTACAGCAGTCTCCCCAATGTTAGCAGTGGTGATCTCTCCCTTCACATTCACTGCTGCCACGCTACTTTTGGATGAGGTCCAGGTGTAGTTGCCACTGCCCCCAGTTGCCTGGAAATGAAATAAAAATTTCACTTTTTGCATATCTATTTACTCTACTGAAAATGCTAAGAAAATACCTTCAATTACTGTGGGGCAAAATTCAAAAACTTCTTTACAGAATTCAAAGTATTTTTTTTTTAGGTATCAAGGTGTAGTTCCACAAGAATACTTTTGTAAGTTGGTTTCAACATTTTTAAAAGGCCCAAAAGTTTGGTTTAATTCAATCTTTCCTGTGGTAGTTTACTCAAATAAAGTAACTCTTGGTCTAACCCGAATCATACCTCATTTAATTTTTTGTAAATTGGTCCCAGTGCTCTCATAAAAGTGAACTGCTACATATTTATCTTAGGTCAAATTAGACCGAAATTTTCAGAGTGAAAAAAAGCAGTCACGTATGTTCTCCAAATTTAGATGCAGTATTAACTTCAAAACATTGCAACAAAAACAAAATAAAACTGGGATGCTCACTATTTGGGGTGTGNTAAAAACTACCAGATAGCAAAAAACACAATGAAATGACCCACAGTAAATAAACTTTCAAGTCCGTTTTTACCTGCAATGGCTTGTAAGCAGCAATGGTGATAACACTCCGCAACTTGACTTGTGCATAAGAATATTCAGCCACAATCTTAGTGTGTCCAAGTCTAAGTGCTCTCACTCTCACTGTCATACAGCTGTCAGGAAGGAGAGGTAGGGTCTCTGGAATATTTGAAACTTTCAAAATCGTTTGTGGATTTTTAAAAGGTTTCTTAAGCGTTAGGCTTATCTCTTGAAGACAACATTCATGACTTCAAGAAACAAAACAGTAAATTTCAGACCACTTCTGTGAACCAAATCTACACTGCCACTTTCATTTAAAATTTTACCAAATGCATAACATAATGTTTAAATCTATTTATTCTTTCATTCACTTATTTATCAATACACATATTTTTTCCTGCACATTTTTCACTAATTTGATGAAAAATCAAATATTTGCCTTCTGAGAGAAGTTAGTAAGAATGACCAAATCATGTATCATTTCCTGGAACAAACACTTAAAATATACAAATTCAGAACTTGTCTCCTTACCGTCCACCTCCTCAAAGACAGCTGTGTCCATCACGGTCACATTGATGGGAACCTTCCTGCAATCATTAAAGATGTACCTTTCTCCTGAAAATAAAACATTTAAACTCTCTTCAGTGAGTAGCATACAAGATAAACTAATGTCAAAGATAACTTGGACAGCAATTATTACAGTTGTTTGCTACTACATAGACACTACATAAAGAACAGTTTTTTTTTTTCTTTTAGCTTTCTGATGAAAGTCTGGATAGCACATGGAACAAAAGACTGTGTATAAAGGCCTGTGCCTCTCTTACAAGACAAAGCTAACACAACTGCTTTAAAAAAACAAACATATCACCTAATATAATTGTCCTCATTATTCTGGTGGATAAGCTTCACAAGCCATGTATTCGACATGTACACTCCAAGCAAAACTACAATACTAGACAGTTTTATATTTTTCTAAGCATTCTCACCTTTTGCAGTATCAGCAAATAAAGCCAGAGGTAAGTCCAGGTTGCTTCCTAATTCTGCCTCAACTTTGGAAGGAATAAACTGCAGGTCAACTGGTGGAAGCACATAGACCTGAAAATTAAATAGGTACCTTTGTAAATTGTGGACAAAAACTTCATAATCACTTCCTACAAAACAGTTTCTCTAGATATAATTTCCCTAATTGTGGTGCTATATGAACAAAAAAAAAAAAAATAGTGTGTCACTTACATCCAGAGTACCATGGGCATAAGCAGATGACACCAGTGTGAAAAGTAATTATGATTGGATCCACACATGCTGCTGGATGAAAATGAATCCAGTAATACTGAATAATTGACATTATTACCTTGCTGGATCTTGTATATACTGTTTTTGACATTCCATTAACCCCAGTTGGGGTCAGTATACATGTATATAATTACCTTGCTGGACCCTGTATGTGCTGTGTTTCTCACATCAGCTGCAGTTACAGCAGTCTCCCCAATGTTAGCAGTGGTGATCTCTCCCTTCACATTCACCGCAGCCACGCTACTCTTGGATGAGGTCCAGGTGTAGTTGCCACTGCCCCCAGTTGCCTGGAAATGAAATAAAAATTTCACTTTTTGCATATCTATTTAGGCTTCGTTCACATGCAATGTCTATTTTCTAAATTCTATTTTCTATTTGCGGTATGTCTTATGATCACGGTCTGTGGCCTGAATATCCCGCGGTGTAATTACTGGCAGCACGAGCCAGTTACTATAAGTTACTATAAGTAACTGGCTCGCACTGCCAGTAATTACGCGGCGGAATATTCAGGGTCCAGACCGTGATCATAAGATAGCGCAAATAGAAAATAGAAATTAGAAAATAGACATTGCATGTGAACGAAGCCTTACTCTACTGAAAATGCTAAGAAAATACCTTCAATTACTGTGGGGCAAAATTCAAAAACTTCTTTACAGAATTCAAGGTTTTTTTTTTTAGGTATCAAGGTGTAGTTCCACAAGAATACTTTTGTAAGTTGGTTTCAACATTTTTAAAAGGCCCAAAAGTTTGGTTTAATTCAATCTTCCCTGTGGTAGTTTACTCAAATAAAGTAACTCTTGGTCTAACCCGAATCATACCTCATTCAATTTTTTGTAAAATGGTCCCAGTGCTCTCATAAAAGTGAACTGCTACATATTTATCTTAGGTCAAATTAGACCGAAATTTTCAGAGTGAAAAATAGCAGTCACATATGTTCTCCAAATTTAGATGCAGTATTAACTTCAAAACATTGTAACAAAAACAAAATAAAACTGGGATGCTCACTATTTGGGGTGTGAGATTAAAATACCTTTAGTGTGTATTGGTATGAGGCTCTAGTGATGGGATCCCATGGAAAAACCAGGATTGGTGGTTCCACCTGTATGGGGTCATAAATTTCCACTTCCTGCATTCCCTCAATAGGGGGCACCAGCATAAACTCCTTGCCGTCCTAAAATAGCGACAAAAATGGTCCAACAAATGTAAAGAAAGTGAAATGAAAACAGATTTCTTAATTTAAATTAGTAAATTTGAATTCTACAATGCCTAAGTATCATAAAACTCATAAGTTCAAGTTGTGTTAGGAATGCCACTTACTTACCTGGATGCAAACAGAGCATACCTAATACATAGCTTACACTAACAGTTATAATTAGAACACTTCAAAAACTCACCTGAGTAATGATTGCTTTAAGTTTTCCTGATATTTCTGTTAAACCTTTCTTTACAGTATGTACTATGTGGTAAGAACCATTCACCATGGAGTGCTTTACTTTTATGTATTCTTCTGGGAAAACAGAATCTATCCTCACATTCTATAAGTGAAAGTAAGTTAAAACAGTAAAAAGTTCATACAAAATAAAGTAATTCCACATAACAATACTGTTCATCTCAAGCTAGAATGCAATACAGTCACTGCCAGGGTAAATAAAAAAAGCTGTGTCATGTTTCTAAATTTTTTATGCAATATCCCTTTTTTTCAAGTGCAATATTTTCAGTGTAGAATCAATCTTGATCAGACAGACATCTTTTCAGGCAGAAATCACCCAGCTTGATTTTCTTGGAACAGAGCAAAATACTCCTTGACAGGCAACCACATCATCTTTGTTACAAAATAATAATAATAATAATGAATAAATGAATAAATAAATAAATAAATAAATAAATAAAATAGTGCACTGCATTATTATATACTCACATCAGAAGGATGTATCCTGTGACTGTCTATATCATATATCTCTATGAGTATAACATACTCCCTATTGGTTTCCAGGACCCACTTCCTGCCAGGGAGGGCCACAAATCCTACAAGGGAATAATTGAAGACAAGATGACATAGGTTTGTCTCGTGATCATGGTAAAAAAGTGAATTGATTCCTAAGAGATTAAACGTGCTTTTCTACCCGAGGCATGGCATCTCGATTATTTAAACACCATCTACTTTTCAACCAAATTCAAGAAAAAAAGTAAATGCTAGCATCTATTTATGTATAAATAATTCTGTTAAATATGTTGAAAAACATATCTATAAAGATCTATCCCTAAATCAGAGATACATACCTAGATATCCTGGGTTTACTACATGGATACCAGCTGTTGGCTGGTGGAATGTGTCTTTGATATTGATATCTGATTCTAAGTTAAGGAAAAAACTGCAAACATATCGAAAAATCCATGGATAAAATATTCTCCATAAATGTCTCTATAAAAATCCAGCATTTATTGATCAATAAAAAATCATCATACTAATGTTACTATTGGTACTATTACCAATATCATAATTCAAATATAGTTTTTAGTAAGTTGTATACTATAATGGATACTTCTGTCCTTGAGCACAAGTTCTGTGTCCCCCAACTGTGTTGCAGTGACAGTGGAGGTGGTTCTGTCCAGAGAGCAGATTTTATTGTCCAACAACTCCAGATAATACTGCTGTGAGGGCATTGGAATATCTGAAGGTGAGAATAAAAGCTATGATATACTATCAATACTCTGAGTATCAGTGTGATCAATATTTTTTTTACTGGCATGACAGTATATCTGCTGAGATCACGACTAGGAGAGAAATCAACATTGGATTAGAGTTTCTGGTTAATTCTTGTGAATTTTACTAATACAAAATGACTTGAGGTATGAATTATTTGCTGACAGTGCCACTGTTTTAGTTGAACTTTTACCCAAATCAAAATCCTCAGTCATAACAGTAATAAGTTTTAATAATTCTTTCTTTAGCTCACTTAAAACTAATCAAGGTGGCAAATTTTCTTTTGACACAAACTCACTTTTTCCCCCCAATTCTCACAGATATGCTTAGATGTCAATATTACTAGTTTATAATAGCAAAATAACTTTTGCCACCAAATCAACATTACCAAATATTTACACACATTTCTATATCTAATCAAAGTGAACTATCTTCAGCATTTGATGAAAATTCCATATTAAGCTGTCTGTACTTTTTTTTTTTTAAACAACGTTTATTCAAAAGAATGAAGTGGAGGCAAGGCGCTGGAAGCATTATATGCTCTCCACAAAATTAAATAAGTAAATAAATAAAACAAATGGATAGGTATATACATATATACAACAGACAACAGCTGTCTGTACTGCCCTGTACCTTGAGCTTTGCCCTGCCTAATGAGTTCCACTGTATACTTGACCTGGGAATACTTGAGGAGGTAGACATCTGGAGGACTGAGGACCAGGTTGGCAACCACTATCAATCTCACAACCACAGGATTGACACTCTACAAATGGAAAGGGGGAAATATCTAAATTCTGTGTATTTATGCTATGAATTTTCACATTAGATACAAAGAAAATGTCAAGAGTGAATCTTTGTCAGTAATAATATCTAGATTTGTACATACTGATGAAATATTACAGTGTTGTTGTTGTTGTTTTTAAGAGAGACCCATCATTCAGTAGAATGTGTTCTGATGAGTAAATAAATGGCTAAGAGATCTCAATGCACTTGGATACAGTATTTTTTCTAATAATAAAAATAACAATTATATTAGTTTATACAACCACTGTATATATATATATATATTATTTAATTCACATTATGGAAATTGTATTACCATCTCAGGTTTTAAAAAAGATGAAATAGAATAAAACAAAACCGGCAAAAAAAGAAAAAAAAAAAAAAAGAGTTAAGACTAATTGCTAAAATTTTTATGCTTTACTTATAAAAAATGATGAAGCAGTTGGATTAAAGCTTTTAAAAAATTGTTTGCTTCCTGTAAAAGTTAAAAGGCTACATTTGCTTGGAAGAAATTAATAAAGTTCATGAGATATGAAGGTGAATAGCATCCTTCATAATCTTTTCTGTTTTGGACACCACCCATAAATGTTTCTATATATGAATGTACATGAAAAGTAAACATAAAAGTCACCTTATAAGCTGGATCACTAAGCCTGGCCTGTACTTTTGCTGAACCAGTTTTGATCCCATGGACTAATATCATGTGTCCCTGCATGCCAATGGCCTCCATTTTACCAATATGAGGGGGAGTCTCATACACAGACTCTGTGAAGGTTTGAATTCTGAAAGATTAAGACATGTTTATTATTATTATTATTAAATACTAGTAATTCCAGATGAACTTCAAATTTAGTACTCCTATTAAACCAAAGGAGGTCCTGTGAGGAAAACATTTTTTAAATAGTTCATCAAGCAATTGAAGTAATGTTATTACACAGGTGTCAAATTAATGACATACTTGAATTTAAAAAAAAAAAAAAATTATATTTATAAATAAATTAACTGTGTGTGTGTTTTTTTTTACCTGAGAACATTGTGTGCATCTATAATACTGCTGCTGTCCACATCTGTATCTGAGATCAAATTCCACTTAAATGCCACGCCCTCCAAGCTACTGAATGTGTTGCCTTAAAATCAATTTAAACAAAAATTAGTACAAGAACACACACATGCCACATACCACACACATGCCATAAATTTTAGCTTCCAGATCAAAATGTGATTGTCATGACAAAGATTTCACTCTCAGAGGTGACAACAGTCCATTTAGGTACAGTGAATACGAGTAGAGCAGTCTAAGATAAGCCTATATTTTTAGATTTTTTTTTTGTGAAACAGGCCCAAGGTAGGTCCAGATTCAAGATGATAATGAACATATTCCTTTAAAATTTGACAAATCACTCATTTCCCTGATTAGTATTCAACATGTTATCAATGGCTAGACTGACACCAGCATACAAAAATTTCTACCAAATGTCAAAAACCATTCCCTTTGAAAGATGGAAAATTTGGCCAATTTTTGACCATTTTATCAATAATTTTAGACTGAATTGAGATATTAAATACATAATACATGCTCATTTCGCATAGGCTGTCTAACAAGGAAAGAAAAAATTGATGTTCAGTCCAATGTCTTCTTACCTTCCTCATCTAAGGCTCTTACTGTGAATGCTTCAGGAGAATCCTCCAGATACAGTTCCCTTGTTGTAGTCTCTATTTCAATTTTATGGATCACATCCACTATAATATCACAGCGTAATATCTGACCAGAGACTAAAAAAAAAAAAAAAATTAAATTAGCACTGCCTTAACTCTTTTAAACTTAAATCTTTAAAATTTAAGATATGCTATTTAACATTACTCATTTCAAGTTTTAAAAAATTACAAAAAGGGTTCTATTTAGCTACAGAAAATATCCAGAATATCCTTATAAGTCACAAAAGCCATCTTTAATATCCTTTTTAATACCTCACCTGAGTCTTCTGCCAGGACAATAGTGGTCATTCTATGTGGAGATTTAGAGTTTGCGCTGACCACAGCTTCTTTAGAGCACTGGCTAGGGTCTTGGACACCCAATGGGATCACTGTGGCTACCTCTGGACGGGAAGAACGCCTGGATACAGATAAATAAAGGAATATAAACATATATATATATTGTCCTTTTCTAAACAAAATACAATCGATATTGAGCTCGCCTTAACTGACGGGTTACATGCCTATACGTCCCCGCACCGATACTCCCCTACACCAGTACATCCCCACATCAATACTCCCCCACATCAATGCTTCCCCCATCGATGCTGAGGGGGATTTTCGGTGCGGGGAAGTAACGGTGTGGGGGAGTATCGACATGACCCCAACTGACATCGATGGCCCCTGTTAGTTTAACATGCTCAGAATAAATGCTTATCAGGCGTAAATTTCATTAGTAAACAATTACAAGTTCTCCTTGTCAAATATGTCTGTTAACTGCACAATTGTTTAAAGTCTTATTACACTAGTTAATAAATTAAATGTGATGATATACTGCATAGGTTACAATCATGTCAAACTCTACAACCCCAATTATTTATTTGGGGGGAATGAAATATACAGACAGGAGCATTCGATTACAGACAACAGTAACAGAGTACTGTAGTATGGTCATTGCTAGATTGAGGTTGACAAGCCATTGTCTGATAGGGGACATCACTGGCAATGTACCCTATCAGTTAAATCTAGTTCCCAATGGATATATGGTCTTTATCCCTTCGGGTCTAGATCGAAAGGTGGATTGACACTTTCCAATATCTAGGAGCCTGGGAAACAGTAGCCACTGCTTAGTTCAAATAATCTTTAAATGTTGACCAAATTAATACTGATGACATATACCGTATGTATCATGCAATATAAATAAGTGCGGAAGTGACAAAAGCGTGTGTTTGTACATGGAAACACGTGTTTTGACAGATATCAGTGCATTAAACCTACCATGTGTAACATCCTTCGCTTACTTCTAAGGTAAAATTTGTGGCAACAGAGCTATAGTATGGAAGCAGAACCTTAGGAACATTAAGTTTGGCAGCAAACAAAATAGTCGAATTCGCTAAAAACCAAATAAGTGTCAAGAGAACTTTAACTTCGTAGGTTGGCGCCATATTGGCACCTTGACCTTCATTTGACTTTAGTCTCCATCATATTCAACAAATAAGACCATAAAAATTCTACCTTGGTGCATAAAGTTAAAATTACTATGTTGTCTGTTTTAATAATAATGTATCAATTATATAGGATGAAGAATACTACTAATGTTTACTAAAATTGAGAAATAAGATAACAGCGTTGAGACTATCACCCACCGTGATCTCGTTTTGGAAATCCCCGAAAGTGGTCGGCCATCTTGAGAAAAATAGGCTACTGTACTTCCTGGAATATATGTTTACATCGTTATCGATGCGCTTCTTCTCAATGTGATTGACTCTCTCCCCGAATATTACCATGCTGGATTGAGCTGCAGTACGAGGAGCTAAAGGAAATTGATCAGTTTCGCAACAGTGTTGTGCTCAGTTGCTGTTTCGTCCCTGGCAAATTAGTTGTCAGGCTTGTTTACTTGCCCCCTCCTGTTGCAATTCAGGGGGCGTTAATAATCAAAAGAATTGTCTTATAACTGAAAAACCGAGAGAAAAACAATGGCAGCTGATTTTGATCCCGATGATAGGGACAGGTAAGAATTTGCTGTGGCCAGTCTTAAGTTCTTGGCCTGTTCTCATGGCAGTACGCCAGTAGACATTCGGACACGGAATTAACTTTTCAATTTGACTTAGAGTTACAAGGAACTTGTTTTTGCGTTTCGCCAGTGAGTTTAAGCAATCTAACATATTTCGGAAGAAGCAGTCAACCACTGATTTATCCGTAGATATTAAATTACGGTGATCACTGAATCAAGCAACAGTCGGTATCAATATCTAAAAAGAAACTTGATATGTGCTTTAGTTGATCAAAAACAGATGATGCACAGTTGAAACTGCAGGAGTTTTGAGATTGTGCCAACTTTTGTGTACCAGTCAATAATATGCTTTAGTCTGTATATATCAATAAATATTGCAATCCATTCAAAATCATGCTGTTTTCTTTCAGTTGGTATTTTGGATTCTTGAGCAGACAAGAAGCAGCAGATATATTAGAACATGAGAAAGACAGTGGTGTATTCCTAGTCAGAGATAGTAGCACAATCAGAGGAGATTTTGTTTTATGTGTCAAGTGAGTAGTAGTAAACTGTCTCTCATATTTCCAGTTGTATCCCATTGCTCATTTTTTTAAAAAAAGATGATCATCAAAAGTCATCTTTCAAATGAAAAAAGTAATCAGATCTGTCTATATCTGTGATTTGGAGGTGTTTGCAGGTTGAAACTATTGGAAGATATTTACCTTGAAATAACACAACTTTTCTACATATATTACTAAACATTTCCATGAGGTTACATCATTACTAAATTAATGTGTTCTGGGTTTACAGTTTGATTTTTTAAATTTTCTTTTTCAGCCAAATTGCTTTTGTTGTTCAAAGCATTTTAATTAACTGTATTTAATCATAAGCTTTTATTAACCATAGATTTTTAATTGTCCAAAAGGAGGAAATGTGCATAAGTACCAATGTTTGTGCTATATTTCACCCAAGTTGAGAGATTAAGTTGTCTGGACATGTTGATGAGCTGATAATTATGTTTATTCACATTATCTAAAAATGTTAAGTGTTTAATCTGAAATGTCATTGAAAATATTTTCGACTATCCCACAATGGGTTGTAATCGTAGTCATAATCATTTCACAATTTTTTGTTGTGCGACATTCTACTTAATAAAAAGGTTTCTGCCTGAATTTCTAGGTTCATATTTGTATTGAAATTGTACCCCAAAACCTGCTATACATAGTCATTAAAAGCTTATGATGAACTTTTGATATGCCACCTTTACATCCTCCTCAATTTTTTTTTACCTTTTATAAGGTTTATGGATGTTGCATGTATAGATATTGCTTTATTATTAAGTAGAAGACTGATATTGATGAAAAATATCCACTGTGAAAATATTTTACATTGTATATATATATATCTTGACATAGTTCATATGATTTGAGTTGACATACTTTTATGAACTGTTCTTCCCAAGAAGAACTTGCTTTTATACACATCAAACTTTTCCATCCTAGCCTGAACACAGATGGTTAAGTTTCTTTTGTTTGAGAACAAGCTGCTCATGGAAACTCTCTATATACTTAGTCATTGATTACCATTAGAACTTCTTCAAGTTACATAATAACAACCAGATATCGAGCTCCAACTTGAAAAGTATGCTAACCACTTTACTCTTCCACGATACATCTTAAACTCTTGATATGTGCTTTTTTATTTTTCAGAGAAGACAACAAAATCAGTCATTATATAATCAACAAAATTCAGGGTGTTGGTGGAGTAGCCAGATTCAGGATAGGTGACCAGGAGTTTCCAGATCTTCCAAGCCTGCTTAATTTTTATAAAACTCATTATTTAGACACAACATCTTTGATAAGGCCGGTAAGTGCACTTGTTTTAGAACAGTGTTTTCATCTTTGTTTTCTACTATCTGATAAAACATGAGTTGGGTTATTAATCTGGCATTTACTAGTTTTTGTTTTGATTATTAATTGGGATTTGACATTTACAAATNTGTGACCTTGAAATTGACCTTTGACCTACTTTTTATCATGAACTGAACTCTGCTAATTTCTTTCTCTTTTAACTTCAAACTTGACAGAGATAGGTCCATAGTTACTCTTGAACTTGAATAGGAAGTCATATACTGGCAATTTACTGTGACCTTGAAATTGACCCTTGACCTACCTTACGAAGAACTTAAATTTGATTGTACCATATATATTTTTTGCAATAGTTTAAAAATTCTTGTTGATTGCATTTTTACAGCTTGTCAAGCACAAAACTGGCGGCTGTGTCCCTTATTTTGTGTATGTGGGGGTCTATACGAATGCGTTTGCTCCAGCTGGTGGTACAATATTTGGAGGCGGTATCGCCTCTCTGATCCTCTAGTTTAATTTGAAGTCTTTTGACCAAGGCCCTTGGTTGAAGGGTCTAGATATCATGCCTTAAAGGTAGAAAATTATATTGTCTAGATTCAGAATCACTTTTTTTAAAATTGAATTTTGATTCGAGGAATTTAAGGTAAACATCGAAATATTTTATAAGCTTCAAAAAAGAAGCACATTCAAAAAAAAAATAAGCCCAGTTAAAGAATAATTTATGTAGGTGGTTTGTAGTAAATGATTATGTTTATAGGTATTTTGCTTTGAACTTTGCAAAATGGGATAGACTGTATTGCAGTGTTCTATCTCTCTTTTCCTATTTGCAGGCACCGAGAGGTATTATAAAAGTAAAGGCAAAGTTTGATTTTCCTGGAAAAGTAAGTGAATATAATTTATTTAGGTGGAGAACTTAAACTTTTTCTGATACCTAAGGTTTTTTTCATTATCTTTGTATGCATTTAATTGTGTTTGCAACTATTTTCGTATATTTTTAACTCTTTTGTACCTCTATTTGTAAATCATGAAATAAAACCTTAAACTGCTAACAGCAAAATAAGTCTGATCTAATATTTAAGCGTGTCCTTGATAACATATTCAACATATTATATGCACACTTATAATCTAAAATAAACAAAAAAACATTCAAGGTTTATATTAGTATTTTCAGTATTTGATAGAAAGACTCTATGTAAGAAAGGATTGAAAATGTATTTTGCCTTTTACTTTTTTAGGACCCAGAGGATCTTCCATTTAAAAAAGGTGACATATTAACAATAATTCGTAAAGATGAAGACCAGTGGTGGACAGCAATGAACAGTGAAGGAACAAAGGGGCAGATCCCTGTACCTTATGTCCAAAAGGTAAGCTGCAATGTTTTGACTTTGATATCAGACCCAAAACGGATGTCATTGTTTAATTAACCAGTATCAAATTAAATATGCATGTTAGTGAAAGTCTCCCTTCCCTCCACGCACACGCAGGCATGCACGCACACATGCACGCATGCACACACACTGAACTTTTATCCAAAATTGCTTCCACGCGCATTTCTCCCAATCAGGCCATGTTCCAACTGCTAGACTGTATTACCCATTGAAAAAGAGATTGCACATGAATTCTATTATAGACTAATTCTAATACTATTCAGATTGACCCCTCTGTTGAGGTAGCTGCCAATCATTTCCCAGTGGCCAATGCTGCAGCACAGCCAGCAAACCCTGCCCCAGACTATAGAGATCCAAAACAGATGAATGGAACACAACCTATAAGGAGGGTATGCTATACGTATTTTAATACCAGTTCAAAAAATGTACTTCTTATTTATTGTTATATCTTTTTATGTAAATTTTTAGAGATTCTAAGGAAATAAAGTACAATTTTTTCTAATCGATGTGAATAATTTCATGATTTCTTTAGGGCAGCTGATGTTTCATTTGACATGTATTTTCTGTAATGTAAATGAAATACAGAGAAACAGGAGTTTTTTGTGTGATACTGCTTAGTGAACATTCCTGTTAGTGTTTTGTTATTTTTCAGGAAGTGTCTTATGCATTTGTGTCTAAAATCAAGTTTAGAAATATTTAAAATAAGCTAAGATAATAAAGTGGATATGCTTTTGGTTAAATTCAGGTCAAAATGGATTGGTTATTGTATTTATGTTGCTGCCAGATATTAGTTAGACTTTTGAGGCTTGTCAACACCTGATATTCATATTATGTACTTATATTATTGACCAGGATATACAGTTACCCTGTTTTGCAAGAGTAATACAGAGAAGGATACCCAATGCTTATGACCACTCTGCTTTGAAGCTAGAGGTAGGACTTAATGCTTTATGTTAAACTGAGTCTTAATAAAAGTTTCTATCCAGTCCATGTATTGAAAATGAATGCAAGCAAACAGTAAAGGTTAACATGTGAACATTTGTTATTTAACACCTTTCGTGATATTTTTAATGTGTATTGCATAGTTTACTTCCTAATAGCTGGCCACTAATTCGCAAAAAAAAGTCTTTATCTTTTATTTTTTAATTTCAGGAAGGGGACATTGTAAAAGTAAATAAGATGAACATGAATGGAATATGGGAAGGAGAATTAAATGGAAAATCTGGAAACTTTCCTTTCCGATATGTGAAGTTAATTGACAAAGATGATCCAGATAATCCTGAGGATGAACATCTTGTTAAGTAAACTGTTGCAATATGATTAAAACGATGAAGAGGGTAAAATTTAATGAATTTTCCCTTTTAAACCAAGGACATTGATCATGTGTATGGGCAAAGTTACGCCTGGATGTTGTGGTGGAAGCTTTTCACCTTGGAATGCTGCTTACCAGTGGATTGAAAAAAAAACAACAGAAAAGTGGAAAATCAGAGGAACAATATATATAAAAATATATATATATACACCAGTACAATGACACAACATTCAGTGTTCATAGCAATTTTTTTATCTTTTTAAAAAGGCCTCATATTGGACTGAACAGTGCTGTGGAAAACGTTCATAACACGGTGATCAGTCATATTGGAAAAGAAGACTATATATATCGTCTCCTTAATCCTGTGTATTGCTAGAATAAGATGACCATATCCATCTCTCAGCGTTCCTCTTGATTATCCATAAACTTTCAGGAGTGTTTGCCAATAAGAAACGAGTATTACATTTGCAATTACTATTTAATGAAGGTTTTCCATTGTATGGAAAGACGCACTGAACCTGTGGGATGTGAGCGGCTTTGACTTGACTATTGTTATCTTGAATGAATGGAGAGAGTTGAATAGGGGGGAAAACTAATTTTTACATTTTGAGTAATTATCATTCTTAAACATGTTTCACTTAACAGATGTCAGTGTATTCTCCCAAGTCATTAGAATGAGAATGGTTTAGTTAAAAAAGGTTTTCTCTTTTGTATCACAGATCATGATATGGAGCCAAATAATTGAAGGACACTTTGGTCAGAAGCATATATTTCTTCTAGTGATTGGAAAACTTTCATGAATGAGGAGTTACTTGTGATAAAGTTATTGAAATCCAATTGGAGCTGTGCTTTGCTGATTTTCAAGGTCACGTTGACCTTCTTCAGGTGCTCTAGCTTCTACAGTCAAATTTGAAATGGCTTAATATGTTGTCACTAGCAAGCTTATCCGCACTTAAATTATTTTCTGCTTGAGTAAGTGGCCTGAATTGAGTATACTGTGAATTGTAATTTCACTGTAGCTGGTGTAAATTCTACTAAAAGATATGGTGTGTGGCAACTTGAAGGGCTTCATCAAATTTTGCAGAATTGTATATAATGACTTCTAATGTAGCTTTTATTTGTGAAATGCATTTTGAATGATAAGTATTATTAGCGACTTTTCAGTGCTTGTATATAGCATTTAAAAGAAAGGCAGAGAAAAGGAAATGCCAAAGTTTGAAACTGACCAAACCATTTGTATCAGTAGTTAACAATAGGTTTGGATGGTAGAATAGTTATTGAATTATATTCTTGTTTAAGTAGTAATTCCTTCCATTAAATCCANTTCAGGTCAAAATGGATTGGTTATTGTATTTATGTTGCTGCCAGATATTAGTTAGACTTTTGAGGCTTGTCAACACCTGATATTCATATTATGTACTTATATTATTGACCAGGATATACAGTTACCCTGTTTTGCAAGAGTAATACAGAGAAGGATACCCAATGCTTATGACCACTCTGCTTTGAAGCTAGAGGTAGGACTTAATGCTTTATGTTAATCTGAGTCTTAATAAAAGTTTCTATCCAGTCCATTTATTGAAAATAAATGCAAGCAAACAGTAAAGGTTTACATGTGAACATTTGTTATTTAACACCTTTCATGATATTTTTAATGTGTATTGCATAGTTTACTTCCTAATTGCTGGCCACTTATTCGCAAAAAAAAAGTCTTTATCTTTTATTTTTTAATTTCAGGAAGGGGACATTGTAAAAGTAAATAAGATGAACATGAATGGAATATGGGAAGGAGAATTAAATGGAAAATCTGGAAACTTTCCTTTCCGATATGTGAAGTTAATTGACAAAGATGATCCAGATAATCCTGAGGATGAACATCTTGTTAAGTAAACTGTTGCAATATGATTAAAACGATGAAGAGGGTAAAATTTAAAGAATTTTCCCTTTTAAACCAAGGACATTGACCATGTGTATGGGCAAAGTTACGCCTGGATGCTGTGGTGGAAGCTTTTCACCTTGGAATGCTGCTTACCAGTGGATTGAAAAAAAAACAACAGAAAAGTGGAAAATCAGAGGAACAATATATATAAAAATATATATATATACACCAGTACAATGACACAACATTCAGTGTTCATAGCAATTTTTTTATCTTTTTAAAAAGGCCTCATATTGGACTGAACAGTGCTGTGGAAAACGGTCATAACACGGTGATCAGTCATATTGGAAAAGAAGACTATATATATCGTCTCCTTAATCCTGTGTATTGCTAGAATAAGATGACCATATCCATCTCTCAGCGTTCCTCTTGATTATCCATAAACTTTCAGGAGTGTTTGCCAATAAGAAACGAGTATTACATTTGCAATTACTATTTAATGAAGGTTTTCCATTGTATGGAAAGACGCACTGAACCTGTGGGATGTGAGCGGCTTTGACTTGACTATTGTTATCTTGAATGAATGGAGAGAGTTGAATAGGGGGGAAAACTAATTTTTACATTTTGAGTAATTATCATTCTTAAACATGTTTCACTTAACAGATGTCAGTGTATTCTCCCAAGTCATTAGAATGAGAATGGTTTAGTTAAAAAAGTTTTCTCTTTTGTATCACAGATCATGATATGGAGCCAAATAATTGAAGGACACTTTGGTCAGAAGCATATATTTCTTCTAGTGATTGGAAAACTTTCATGAATGAGGAGTTACTTGTGATAAAGTTATTGAAATCCAATTGGAGCTGTGCTTTGCTGATTTTCAAGGTCACGTTGACCTTCTTCAGGTGCTCTAGCTTCTACAGTCAAATTTGAAATGGCTTAATATGTTGTCACTAGCAAGCTTATCCGCACTTAAATTATTTTCTGCTTGAGTAAGTGGCCTGAATTGAGTATACTGTGAATTGTAATTTCACTGTAGCTGGTGTAAATTCTACTAAAAGATATGGTGTGTGGCAACTTGAAGGGCTTCATCAAATTTTGCAGAATTGTATATAATGACTTCTAATGTAGCTTTTATTTGTGAAATGCATTTTGAATGATAAGTATTATTAGCGACTTTTCAGTGCTTGTATATAGCATTTAAAAGAAAGGCAGAGAAAAGGAAATGCCAAAGTTTGAAACTGACCAAACCATTTGTATCAGTAGTTAACAATAGGTTTGGATGGTAGAATAGTTATTGAATTATATTCTTGTTTAAGTAGTAATTCCTTCCATTAAATCCAGAATGTGAGATGTGCACAAGGAAGCACAGTTATTATAAACACACTGCTAGGTAAAAAAAATTAGTGTTTTAGATGGGAAAATATCTTCACAATTTGAGAGTTGGTTAGAAATTAGAATAACAAAATAAATTATCTTTAAACAGAATTTCACACAACTTATTAATGTTAACCCTAACAGTCTTCTGTTATTTGGTAATGAATATTATACACCAACCTTGCCCCCAGGCTACATGATCAAGTTGTTCATTCATTAGTTAAGAGTTTTTACAAATAGGTCAAAGTTAACATTGTATACCACCTGTAGTGCACATGGTGTTTATGATGACGTATAAGTTTGATATCATCTTTCATTTGTGTGCAAATCTCGCCAAGAGCTTGAAAGTTGAGTATAGCATCTATGGGCTTCAGTCACATTTATTGTCTTCCCGTTATACAGGTGTAGCGCATATGTTCTGGTCACCTGGCACTGCCGTGAGCCCGCTTTTCTTTTTAATATCAGGTGCACTACACAAAAAGCTGGGAGAACTGATTTTCACCACCACCACCGCCACCACCAACGATTGTGTATATGCTGTATATTGAAATGTTATGTATGAAAATGAAGTATTTCGCTCCATATCTGTACTTTGTGGTGCGGCTGCATGACATGTACTGTGTGGGACAGAAAATAAAATGTTATTGTTTAAATATGACAGCATGTTTGTGTTGTTTTACTGCATTATTTTTCAAATGTGAAATGCAAAATGTGATTAAGTTAATCCGCAATTTGAGGATAGACGACATTCAATATAGCTGATTAAATTGTTAAATCCAACAATCGTGCACACGTGCGTAAGAGCTGATAATTTTGAATGCCATTTCAAAGAAAGGCGCATGTATGGAAACGAGGCATCGGATGGGTATTGTAAGTGGGTAGCAAAAGAGATGGACCTCAAAAATCAATCAGAATCTACTTTACTTGTAAAAAAGTCATTGCATGCAAAAAATGAGACTAATTAACAAAAGATAAGATTTAAAATGCACTAATATTCTTGCGTTAGCAATTCTTTTTTTCGTTTTTTGACATGTAGGATGGATCCAATGGGAGAAGCTTTTTGTTAGATGTAGATATTTTGATAAAAAATCATGTGAAAGTAAAGTATATATTAATTTCATCATAAGTCCTTTTCTCAGGATTTTTTTTCTTTTGTGAGTGTATGTGTGTGTAACCAAGTAAGTTTGGTACGAAATTTAAAAAATTTGTTTTTTGACTTATGAGTGGGTTTCAAATTCCTCAATAGCTAACTGTGCCTGCATTTTCCTGCTTCAATAATAGATATTAGCCTGAATGTGCATAGGTATCTTTGCGCTAAATTTAGGACAATATTTTTCACACACTTTGTTACTACCCGTGAAATAGCCGATGGCCCACTTCTCAGTGAGCTCTTTGGAAAAGCAGTAGAGAAAAGCCAACCTGCTGCACAGAGTCGACATCTATCCATCTTGGATCAGAGTGACCTCTAGCGGAGTATGGTGGCAGTATGGCAAGCGGCAAAAGGAAGCGACTATCTAGTCCCAAAACATCGCAGAATCGGAGAGGAAATGCCACGGAAGATTTCCGTGCCTACATGGCTGATGTTGTCTCCAAAGGGCAAATTTGTTTGTCCATTGCTCTTGGACACGAGCTACGTCTGTTTGATTTACTGGGGGGATTCGACGAACCGAAGTCGTGCTTGGATATAGCTGAGGCCGTCGGAAGCGAAGAGTCGTAAGTGAATAGTCCGAATGAGTAGTGGTAAACTTCACAGAAGTGTACTCTTTTGTTTGAATATTGCCACTGCACTCACTACAGAAAATGTAGATAACACTAAGGGTCTTTCTGAATTTAACTGGTTGAAATACTTGCAAGTGATACGCGACTGGCTGTTGTCCGACACAGTAATGCTCATCAACGGCTCATTAATATTTCTAGAACCAAAGATTTAAATGCTGACTTACCATATTAGTAGATCTCTATGGCTTTTTTCAATCTTCAAGTGATTTTATGTAACATTCCATTTAATATTCTTTTCAGCTAGTTCTTCACTGCAAAAAGTGTAACATCCAACAATAAACATTACCTCCCTTTGTCTTCTAGGTATATCAAATCTTGGTTAAAGTCAATGGTGTCAGGGAAAATAGTGGAGGTTGTGGAAAGTGAGGAAGGGGAAACATATTACTATTTACCAAAATATCGTCTTCCTTTTCTCACATCAACAGAGAACAACCTGACCAGTCTCACTAGACAGTTTCCTGTTAAAGACCATGTGTATCCAGATGTTGTTAAATCAGGGAAAAGGGATGAACCTGCTGGTGAGAGACCGTTTTATACCTTATTATACCTAAGCATGTAAATATAGTTGCTAATGAGGAAGGTTATATGTATTTCTTTTTCAACTGTCACCATAGCAAAATGCCTATCCTATTTTATGATTTCTACTATATACTTTGTCCAGTCATAATGAATTGTGACATTTCAACTTATTGAAATAGCATTATAATAAGCCTGCTGCTCACCTTGACTAATGGCCTTAGTCAGTTGGACTTGGACTTATTTATTTATTTATTTATTTATTTATTTATTTATTTTCTAGTTGTAGGGTTTTCCTACCTGGTAGACTGTGGGGGCCACAAAAAAGTCATTAAAATTGAAAAGAAGGCGGATATCTATAGTGAAATAAAAGAAGCGTTTAATCTGCTGCCAGAAACATCACTCACTTTGCAAGTATTCAATCATGAATGGGAGGATTTTATTGATATTGACTTCTTAGAGGATCTCCCAAACAAGGGGAAAGTGATAGCTATTGCTACAACAGATGTGTCAGTTATCACATCATCAACAGGAGCCCTCACACAACTGAAACCTCTCACTCTGTGTGCCCCTGTGGAAAATGTTGAAAGGTATGTATTGTGTGTCTACAGTCAACCATCATTTGATGGAATATTGCAATCATGGTATTCTAGATAATTAGTATTAAACTTTTGTGACTTCAGAAATTGTCAGTTTTCTCTATTCGCTTTCAGCGTACCTGTATTTTAGTCATTTTGAACTTCTTAATTTTGTGCTCTCTAGGCAACCTTACAGTGAGATCATTATTTAGTTGTGATTTTTAATGACTCCATACTTTATCTATATTCATGTATTTTTCTTTTTTGAGTGCTCACTTTGTTCACTTGCATAAAGATATATTGGCTTAAAAAGTAACACATACAGCATCCCTTAAAGACTAAGTGATCTTCCATATATTCTCAGTTTTAGGGAATATTTTTCAGTACTCTTCCTGAGAATCCCAATGGTGCAACAGAGAACATTAATCATGAAATGGAGCAGACTAATTGTGTTCCACTTGGAGACGAAGAAAATTACTTATCAGATGAAGCGGAGACATTTTACGAAGTGGCAGATGGAGTGAAAATAGTTTTGTCTGATGATTTTACCGAGGCTGTATCTACAACAGAAGAATCAGCTGTCAGTGCTGCAGAAGCCCTTGAAGAATTGGAGCATCAAACTGCATGTCACTGTGCTCCTAGTGCAGAGCTTGTGGAGAACATTGCAGGGTAATTTTTATATACACATTAACAGCTGCCAGAATGGAAACAAACACCATTTTGAATTGATGAATGCTGGGACCTTATTATCATTTCTAAGAATTTTTTAATGTAAACAGTGCAAATATGGTTGAAGCATGCTTCTTTTGTTCTTTTTTTTAGAACGTGCAAAAAAGGCAAACTCAAATACATTTTCTGAGTAATTTTTCTTGGGGGGGGGGAGAATGCTGGTCCACACAAAAAAGTTAGAGACCAATGTGTGATTCTGTGACTCAATTGTACCTCTATTCTTATTTTTAAGTAAAGAAGATATTTAAAGGCTTAATATCACATAAATTTGGCTTTAAGACTGTGCAAACAGGTTAAATTTTGGGAATATTTTTCAGTAGTCTCCCTCTGAATGGGCATGTGGCAGAAGATAAGTCCTGGCAAACACAGCACCGCCAGCCTCTCCCCATTCCTTTTGATTATGAGATTCCACTGGACAAAGTATCCTCAGCAGTGAAAGCTGCTCTGGAGGGAATGCAGGACCTCAGTGATAGTCAGAAAAGTGCATTACTCACTGTGTACGAGGATGCCACTAGTAGACTGGGGAAATTGTAAGCACTCTCTCCATGTCTTAATTTACATGTAAACTATAATAACTGTTTTAAACATTTGTTTTCTTTAAAAAGATATAT